TTGCATTGTGCTGAATTATTACCAATCAATTATCTTGTTGACCAAAACTGCTTTTCTTTGTTAAAGTAGCTGCTTATTCACAGATTAACTGTTATACATAGCCCCAAAACTTTTAGATCTTTGATTGCAATTGCACAAAAGGAGAAACATTTTTAAAAGTGGGTTTTTGGTGAATTGTTTTCAGTCCATTTCAAAGTTGAAAACTAATACTGCCTCATTATGTGACTTTTTGTCTGCTTTTCATAAAACAGAAATTTACTCTGAAATAGCTAAATAAAGCTATATTATATAGGTAAATAAAGCTATATAGGTAGATTTAGCTATATAGCTAGTGATTTTCCTAGACCTGTTTAACTGGAATTACCTGTATTTTACCAATGCATTATAATAAATATTTAAGGGAATACATTATGAGAATTTTACTTATCCAACCGAAGATGAAGTTGGTAGTTTAGACAAATGTCCCTATCGCATTTCACCATGTTTCTTTATTTCATAAAGATAAAATGAATAAGTAACTGAATTCAATCTTAAATCAACCTGTCTAGTTAGTATCATGTGAATATAATTATTGTTTTGTGTTATTTTTTTATGTTTTAAAATGATTTCTTCAAGAAATAAGTCAAAATATCAAGTGCAAAATTAACATTTTTTCTTCCTATTCTTTCCGTAGAATCTCTTACTCCAAATTCACAACTATGGTATAGACTATAGCAATTAAGTAATTATCTTACCTAGACAAATTCCCGTTTTGCACACATTTTTTCAATACCTGAAATTCAAATGTGTGCAAAACGGGAACAAACCAATTCTATTATCCTCTCATTTTCAAAGGTTGTTACACTTACCATTAAAGAAATGTGAAAAGAGAATCACATATTGTCCTACATTATCAAGTTAATATGTTCTACTGTCCTAGATCACAAAAAGAAATGTTTTTCATTCATGAGCTGTACACTAGCCGTAAGAAAGCACTTGGTCCGCCATATTTATACAAATATTGCACCTTGGCAAAATGACCAAACGTTCTCTTTTGAAAGGCGAGAGCTCGTAAAGGGGGATAATCCTAATTATAATTGAGAACTTTTTAATGCGAGGCTCATGGGCCATGACAATCACCCGAGTATCGCGAGATTCTCAAGCTATGGCCACTTAAGCGACTTCTGGTCTCTTACAACAAAATTTTATTGTTTGATATGATTTTTTTCCCTTCACATTTCAATTAACATGATTAATCTGCATGACTTTTAATCCAATTGTATAAGAATAAATTAATGATTGAATGAATAAATAAATAAGAAAGTACAATAAAGAAATATGAAATGGGAAATCCTTTTGAAATATTATTAAAAAAAAAAAATCAATTTTGTCCATCAAGGTGATGGAATTGGAAAATTAACGGGAAATTTCTTGTCAATTTTCTTGTAATTTTTACATTTAATAAAAAATTCCTAATGCTAAAACCAGAATGTTTACTTACAGGATTTTAATGCAACCCTACTAAATATATAACTTTGGTCACTAAACTTTTTCTCATGAATACAGAATTTTAACAATGAAATTTAAACTACATAATTATGTGGAACTAGATTTACAGTACCGAGTAAGTTAATATGTGCGAGTGTCACCCTGAAAGGAGGGCTCATAAAATTATAGATCTTAATTATACTGTAGATCTAAATTATAGTGTAGATCTAAATTTTAAATACATGTACAACTGCTCAGTGCTGTGCTCATTGAAATTAATCAACAAAGATGCATGTGCACAACAACTAAATTTAAGATAAAATGTTGTAGAAATTACTTACTTTATCTACAATATGAAACATGTAGTCTCAGTAACTCAGGGGGTTTCCTCTTCTATTTATAGAATCTTCCTCTTTACTGAACATCATTTGAAAATGACTTCCTACAGTTGGATGTAAGTATTAAAAATGAGATTTGTATATCTATTTATGAATATATCAGAAGCACATATTTCTTAATATATTCTACAAACCACTAGGATGTAATTCTTGAGGCGTTGAACAATAAAAATGTTAACAATGACCTGTATACTTAGGCCTTGATACACATTAACTCAATATTATACTCGCCCAAAATGTTATTTCAAATCTGTTGACCCGGATCTATTGGTAAGTAGTGTCCAACCCCAGTTTTGAGTGTCGATCTGAATACCCAGCATGATATATTAATTTGGACTCGTTACATTGAAGGTATTACAGCCAACGAGTAAATAACCAAAATTTAAGTTTTTCCCACACAAATATCAATGTATTATATCTATTTTTTTTTTTACAGTGATTTGGGTATACAACATTTATCAGAGTCGGTGTTTGTGAGACTGTGTCAAATAGTGGGGACCTCACAACAGGTGACCATGAGAAGAGAACTACTAGACATGGATGAGAGGATGAAAAATCAAGTCATGTTTACAAGTGAAGAAATGGTAGTGATGACTAGTGGAAGTTTTAGAGAAGGATTCAGGCTAAAGGGATCTGATATAGACATGATGTTCTGGCCAAATGACCATAATATAATTTGGGACTTAGACCAGGCTCACAATTATGACTTAAATAGAAAAACACTGATTCTCTGTGATTGTTCTGATAGTCCACCTGGATTTGCTTTACTTGAATTATTGACACAGAGTCACTGGGAATTTATAAAGAATGCATGTATAAGAATCAATGGCAGACTCTATATATCAAGTTCTGAATTCAGACATATCACACATTCTGCTATTGTGCCTGATTCTAGGGAACATGGTCCATGTGGTAATGGTGCTATTGGGGTGGCAGAATATGACACAGCCCTATGTTTTTTCTGTGACTTTTGGCCCCCTCATGCCTCCAAATGGATAAACAGATGTCACTCATGGCCCCTGCCTCCTATCATTGATAAAATAGTCAGAAATGGATGCCACTTTGTAGCAGTAGGACACAAACTAGGAAATCACGCTGAAAAAGAATGGAGAATTTCCTTCTCTGTGGCAGAGCACTATCTAGTTTCCTCAATGAGTCATTGCCAGTTCTTAACATACGGTCTGCTTAAGTTATTCTTAAAAGAATGCATTAACAGTGGATTAAGTGATGAGAATAAATTACTGTGTTCTTATCACATGAAGACAGCTGTTTTTTGGGTAATTCAACAAAACATAATGCCTTATTGGTGTCCCCAAAATCTCCTGCAGTGTTTCTGGATCTGTTTTAAACTTATCCTGAAATGGGTGTATGAAGGCACCTGTCCCAATTTTTTTATTCCAGAAAACAACATGTTTCTAAGTAATATTCATGGTGAAGCACAAAAAAAATTGTTCATAAGACTTCATGAGTTGTATGAGAAGGGTTTAGCATCACTGCTTTACAGTCCATCCATCAGGTCCTGTGTTATAAGTGTCCTCCAAAATCCCAGGCAATCTATTTGTACAGATGAACACACTCTGATTTCCAAGGTGATGTTTGAAGTAGATCTATTCAGTGAGATATATCGCAATAATCTAACCATGCATGACCTACACCCCTGTATGAAGTTCCTCAACTCTGTAGGAAAGTTGATCATTTTACCCCTGACTCAATATCAGAATCTCATATTACAGAAGCGTACAGCTTCTATACTCCAGAGCACAGCTTTTATTTCACTCAACCTTTTAACTGATTCTGTACCACTCATGGTGCATACTAGCATGAACAAAGTGATATATTTAACAGACAAAAGGTCCCTTTACATGCTGAAATTAGCTGCCAAGTTTGGGTTCATTTCCGACATGTTGTACATTGCTATGTACTATTACAAGACGTTCAGATACCAGAGAGCTTCAATTGTGATAGAGATGATAAAAGCCAAGTTAGCACAGCCATATGTAGTGTATGGGGTACATGTAAATGCAGAGAAATATAGCGAGGCTATAGGAAGACATTCCTGGTCTACAAAGATGAGAAAGGCTGTAACATGGGATGTTTCTCTGAACAATGAAATCTGTTACATTAATGAATTAGTGCCAGAACAACAGTCTGGATTACAGTGTAGATATCCTGGATTATGTATCCCCCTCTTTGTTCTTTTACACATGTTGGAGATCTTGTGTTACAGACATGTAGACCCAGTGAGGACACAAAGAGCTCTATATGATTTACAGGTTCTTGTACACCATCATCTGGAGACGCACATACTCGGAGATGAAAAAGACATATCATGGGAGATCCTAGGGATCTGTCAACAGGTTACAGGGAACAACCAAGCTGCTCTGCATTCCTACCAACAATCTCTGACACAAATAGTATCCCACAAAATACAAAATGCTACATTAATGAGAATACAGCAAATCATGGGACTAATCCATAGAGTCTAATATTACATTAATGGTACATGGAGTACCTGGTAAATAATTTCCTTTAAGAATTGGATTTTTGGCACAAATTCAGCGATTCAAAACCTTCTTTTTTTGACAAAAGTATGAAGCACCAGTAAAGCAACTGTCCCATTTCCCCCCATGAATTGATAATTGTGTTAAGTTGCTCAACTTAGGAAAAAGGTCCATATAAGTATAAAATTTTGCTTTCCGGTATGACATTGAAGTGTTATTATCTTTATTCAAAAAAAAAAAAAATTCAAAAAAAGGACACTGTAGAACCAATTTTCAAACTTTTGTAGGCCTTTTGTTTCTTTACAACCTACTGTATTATATAAAGGAATCCTTGTCATAGGTTTACTAGTAAAGTTTGTAAAACACTTGATTGTTTTTTCTTCGTTTCCATGATTTCAGTTCATAAACATCTCGCACAAAAAAACCCCAACAAAAAACAATAAATAAATAAACTATCAAACAAACCAAACAAACAAAAACTTAACACTTACAAAACATTCCTTAAATACATGTAGCTGTTTCAAATACTGGTAGATTCATTTTCATCTGACCAATTATCTTTCAGATTATGATGTCTCAATGACTTTGAAAACACAACCCCCATAACATGCTGTCCAATAAAGAATGTAACAAATTATGTTTTTTCAAACATTGTATTCTATAATATAATACATATACAAAGTTTGAACTATATAATTAGATCAAGATCTGTTATTTCATTTCAGCATTTCATAATACATGGTATTATTAGGGTATACCCATATTTGTACACATATTTCATAAAATCTGCACATTTAAAAATGAGTGATTAATTGATTATTTAATTTTGACATTTCAGTTTTTTGTATTTTCTATATCTACTTTTCCCTATTTTTACTTACTTAATTCCTATTTGTGTGTTGTGTGCCATCTATTTGACAGTTTAAATAAATTCAATGCATAGAATGACCTTTTGAAATATTCACAACCAAGACAGACCAAGAACTGTCAAGCATAACATATTAGTTATCCATTGGACAAAAAATTACAAAATTGTATGATATTCTATAGTTCTTACTGGAATTGTCAACTAGCTTGGTATATATACAACCATTCATTTCTCTTTTTCCGTTCAAATATTGGTACATACATATACTATGGCTTATGACTTGTTCCTCAAAAGATGTTTAAACTAAAAATTCCAATTTGCAGAAATGGACATCATTGTTAATGTAAAACCAGAAGTCTCTGATGAGACTGTAGCTCTACTGGTCTGTACATATAACAAAGGAAACGTAGCACTTGGATTTGAAACTTTGCAAAATGTAGCAATAAATAGAATAATGTATCTTAATGTAGTCTACTTGTGTGCCAAGTTATATTGAAATCAAACAAAAAACTGTAGGGGGAGTAGCGTTTTAAAGGAATTTCATAGAAATTCCTATATTTAGTAACCATGGCAACACCATTCATCGAAATCAAAAACCGATGCACTAAATTATGTATCTTAGTGTAGTCTACTTGTATGCCAAGTTATATTGAAATCAAACAAAAACTGTAGGAGGAGTAGCGTTTTAAAGGACTTTAAAGAAATTACTATTTTTAGTAACCATGGCAACACCTTACATTGAAATCAAAAACCGATGCACTAAATTATGTATCTTAGTGTAGTCCACTTGTGTGCCAAGTTATATTGAAATCAAACCAAACCTGTAGGAGGAGTAGCGTTTTAAAGGAATTTCACAGAAATTTCTATATTTAGTAACCATGGCAACACCTTTCATTGAAATCAAAAACCGATGCACTGAATTATGTATCTTAGTGTAGTCTACTTGTGTGCCAAGTTATATTGAAATCAGACCAAAACTGTAGGAGGAGTAGCATTTTAAAGGAATTTTACAGAAATTTCTATTTTTAGTAACCATGGCAACAACGGTCATCGAAATCAAAAACCGATGCACTAAATTATGTATCTTAGTGTAGTCTACTTGTATGCCAAGTTATAATGAAATCAAACAAAAACTGTAGGAGGAGTAGTGTTTTAAAGGAATTTCACAAAAATTTCTATTTTTAGTAACCATGGCAACACCGTTCATCGAAATCAAAAACCGATGCACTAAATTATGTATCTTAGTGTAGTCTACTTGTGTGCCAAGTTATACTGAAATCAAACAAAAACTGTAGGAGGAGTAGCATTTTAAAGGAATTTCACAAAAATTTCTATTTTTAGTAACCATGGCAACACCGTTCATCGAAATCAAAAACCGATGCACTAAATTATGTATCTTAGTGTAGTCTACTTGTGTGCCAAGTTATATTAAAATCAGACCAAAACTGTAGGAGGAGTAGCATTTTGAAAAATTGTTTACAGACAGACGGACAGACAGACAGACAGACAGACGGACAAACGCCAGACACCTTACTATCGCATAAGCTCTTCTGGTCTCTGACCAGTAGAGCTAAAAACAAATACAGATAACAAAAAAAAAAAAAATAACTTAAAAATTCTAAGTAAGAGGCAGTTGTACTATTAGTAACCAATAACAAAAACAAAATGAACATTAAAGCTATGAATGAACAATAAAATCACTGATATTTGTATGAGAAAAATCATGATGACATTTTATTCTTACGTACATATCTTATTACAAAAATGCTTAAAAATTTGACATAAAGGTCACCAATATCACAATTTGGCTGAGTCTGTTGAGGGGGGAGGGGTCATTTCCCTCAGCTAGTCCCAGCAGGCATGATGACATGTAAAGCTGACATTTAGATCACTCATTCTGAAGCAGTGTCACTGAAAGACATCAAGTAGACAGTTCCCTTCATTTTATAGTTCTGAGAGAAAGAGCTAGGTCTCTCTTTGCTTCTTGCATTCACACCTGAAACTTCTACAAATCAATCATACAACCTGAAAAAGACAAATGGAGATATGATAAAAATTTCTACAGAGTAGCAACTTTTGAAAATGTCTAAACATGTTATAGAAAAAAATGGGAAAAAAAATTATAAGAGAAATAGAATATTAAGAAGAAATGGTAAAAATTGTCCAACAATTCAAAATCTTTAACTTCCACATCTATTTGAATTTTTTCAGTTCTTGCAGTTTTTATTATCTTGGGCAATTTTTTTTGGTTCTTTCAATATGCAACTTGTCAACTGCAAGATTTTATTATGACATAATGCACAAGTCCACATGAATGACAACATAATATATACCTTTTAGACACAGAGAGATTATTGCATAAGATGAACTTGTTCAATGTCCTTTTTGAGCTTCTTTGGCAGCTAGTATAAGTGGCTGTAGATTGGCCAGTGGCTTTGCTAACCGAAGGAAGGGATGCTGCAAAAGAGCAAACAAGCTTCGGTAAAACTAGTGAACTTTCCAAGTCTTATAGCATTTGAAAACGAGCAAGTGAACATATTACATTTCAGTAAAACAGAAAGCATTTTCTTTAATTCTAAAAAAAATATCAAAGCTCTCATAAATATTTCATAAGAAATTTTATATCAACAAAATACTGTATGTGTACTTAAAAAAGTGGGCTTTATATTTTAGCAGCTTTGGTGTAGACAACGATGCACTAATTCATGAATACCACTAAATCATTTATAAATACAATATACAGCACGGACATGTATAGCACTAATTCATGATTTCGCCAACAACTCCATACCCAGTGATTGCGCTAAATTTTGAATACGCCAATTTATGTACACGTACAGTATAATATCAGGTGCAGATCCAGAAATTTTTTCCAGGGAAGGGGGTGGGGTGGGTGGTCCAGCCCAGTCAAATAATTTCCAATAAAGAAATTTCTTGAATAAAAAAAAAAACAACAAAAAACTAAACTCCTTTTCCAAACATATCAAACCCAGAAAATTTCTTGACAAAAAAAATAAATAAATAAATGTAAAGTCCATTTTCAAACATGAAAAAAACCTATTTCTTGGTGGTGGTGGGTCCTAAGTCACTTTTTATTTGCTTCAGTATATACTTTTCATAACTCTGCAAATTCGGGGTAGAGGATCCAGACCCCCCATGGCAAAGGTAAAAGTTTCTCAAATGCAAGTCAATCTCCAAGTTCAAGAGATAAACCAGAAGTCTCTGATGAGACTGTAGCTCTACTGGTCTGTACGTATAACAAAGGAAAAGTAGCACTTGGATTTGAAACTTCGCAACATCAGCAATAAATAGAATTATGTATCTTAATGTAGTCTACTTGTGTGCCAAGTTATATTGAAATCAAACAAAAACTGTAGGACTAGTAGCATTTTGAAAGTATTTCACAGAAATTTCTATTTTAAGTTACCATGGCAACACCAATCACTGAAATCAAAAACCAATATACACCATTATGTCATGTAGTGTAGTCTAATCATGTGCCAAATTAGACTGAACTGTAGCAGGAGTAATGTATTAAAGGAATTTTACAGAAATTTCTATTTTTAGTAACCATGGCAAAACCATTCTTCAAAATCAAAAATCAATTCATCAAATTACGTATCTTAGTGCAGTCTACTTGTGTGCTAAGTTATATTAAAATCAGACTAGAACTGAAGGAGGAATTGCATTTTCAAGGAATTTCACAGATATTTCTATTATTAGTTACCATGGCAACACCATTCATTGAAATCAAAAACCGATGCACTAAATTATGTATCTTAGTGTAGTCTACTTGTGTGCCAAGTTATATTGAAATCGGAACAAAACTGTAGGAGGAGTAGCATTTTAAATGAATTTTACAGAAATTTCTATTTTTAGTAACCATGGCAACACTGTTCATAAAAATAAAAAAAACCGATGCACTAAATTATGTATCTTAATGTAGTCTACTAGCGTTCCAAGTTATATTGAAATCAGACCAAACCTGTAGGAGGAGTAGCGTTTTAAAGGAATTTTACAGAAATTTCTATTTTTAGTAACCATGGCAACACCGTTCATCCAAATCAAAAACCGATGCACAAAATCATGTATCTACGTGTAGTTTACTTGTGTGCTAAGTTATCTTAAAATCAGACTAGAACTGAAAGAGGAGTTGCGTTTTCAAGGAATTTCACAGATATTTCTATTTTTAGTAACCATGGCAACAATGTTCATAGAAATAGATGCACTAAATTATGTATCTTAGTGTAGTCTACTTGTGTGCCAAGTTATATTGAAATCAGACCAAAACTGTAGGAGGAGTAGCGTTTTGAAAAATTGTTTACAGACAGACGGACCGACGACGGACACCTTACTATCGCATAATCTCTTCTGGTCTCTGACCAGTAGAGCTAAAAATGTTGGTACTCAAAATAAAGTTCTTGTCAAAAGAAAAAAAACATGGAATGTGAAAGCCCTAGAACCAACCATTCAAAAGTTATGGCCAAGGTTAAAGTACAGGTAAACTTCGGTATCTCGACATCGGATATGTCGACAACCTGGGATATGTCGACGTCCGTCCGCGGTCCCGGCAGTATTTACTATATAAATGATTTGCAAAAACTCTGATATGTCGACCTCGGTAATCTCGACAACCCTGGTTATCTCGACGTATATTCACAGTCCCAAGAGCAAAAATTACCTGGTATATGTCGACATCGGCAATTTTCTGCTCCACTGAACCGAACTGTTTGTCAGATAGGGTCGCTCGTCACGCACGGACGGCTCCGGGTATCTCGACGTCGTCAAAAATTCACACCTTTCACACCCATGTTTTGACTGCACGCTGCTTAATCAATTCTATAGACTGTGTTTGTAGGTGAATCCAAAGCCCCATCGGCGTTTTTGAGACGTTAATTGCTTAATGTTCAGCTTGGGTAATATCGCTGATAAATCTACACGATTCTGCTTAAATTTACAGGTGTTTATTTATGTCGAAACCTAACATAACTTTTAAAATTGAAAAAGATAACTAAATTACAAAGAATAATAAACATATTGAATGAATTCAAACTAAAGAATTAAACGATGTTCTAATAACATTCAACAGGAAATAATCCGATTAACGACACGATTAACCGAATCATCCGTAATTCATGCATCTGTAATATCACTACGTTAGTTTAGATACACAAATCTCTTAAAAAATTAATATTAATGCACATTCTTCCTGAATGAAATAAGAAAAAAAAAATAATTACGCATTTAATATGTTTTCGTATCTCGGATGTCGACTTTATCATGTTTATACGGTTCGGTTCGAAGTTTATAGAGCGCATTTCGTATCCTGTTCTGACAAAAAAGCAAGTAACACGCGAATGCTGAATGGAAAAATTTAGAACGATTTCGATAAAGAGAAGGATTTTAAAAAACAACTTCTTAGATTTTTATTAAAAATAGAGGGATTGCTGAAATAAGTTGACCTACAGTCTATATTGAAGTCATGTACGTATAATAAGCTTATACACATGTATGTGTTTGGTTATGCAGTGAAATCTTGGACGTCAACTCTGATATCTCGACACCTCGGATATCTCGACATTTTCCGATGGTCCCGTCGATGTTGAGATAACGAAGTTTACCTGTATTTCAAAACTAGGTCAAACGCCAAAGTCAAGATCAAAGGGTCAAAATTGTTGGTATCCAAGGGAAGGTCTTATCACAAAGAACACATGTGAATTGTGGAAGCCAGAGCTCAAAACTTATGGCCAAGGTTAAAGTTTTTCAAAAGTAGGTCAAACTCCAAGGTCAAGATCAAAAGGTAAAAAAAATATATGTACCCAAGGAAAGGTCTTATCAAAAGGAATACACATGTGAAGTATGAAAGCCCTAGTACCAACTGTACAAATGTTATGGCCAAGGTTAAAGTTTGATAAAATTTTGTAAAAGTTGGTCAAACTCCAAGGTTAAGGTTAAGAGGTCAGACATGTTGGTACCAAAAGGTAGGTCTTGTCACAAGGAATACACATGTAAAGTATTCAAGCCTTAGCTCAAACTAATCAAAGGTTATGGGCAAGGTTAAAGTTTTTGTAGACAAAAAGAGAGAGAGAGCAAAAACAACATGCCCTCGAATCTTCCATTACGGGGGCATTAAAACAAGCACATGCAGTATTTCAATGCTGTCTTCCTTAAATCTGAATAGAATATAAAATTACCTTTAAAAGCTCTGAAGCTGAAGCTCTTTTTTCTACATCAACCTCCAAACATTTATCTAGGAGATCTTGGAAGACAGGGGAGAGTTTGTGTTTCTCTTTGATTTCAGGTTTACCATTTGTTGCTATTAGATACAGAGCCTACAGCAGAAAGTATAACATGAACAATCCCTGAATCATTGTTTCAAATTGTTGCCCTTTAATTGTACATTATATAAGTATGCCAAAGAGTAAATATTTTATCTTTAAAAGTACAATTTTCTTTTGAGTAAAACCTAATTTTCATTATTTTGTAGGCTCTCAGCCAATTTGTGGTAGTATTCTGTGATCACAGTTTATACAAGTGAATTTTTACTGGTACAGAAAGCTAACTAATAGTATTGTTTTGAAAGAATAAGTCTCCTACTAAAATTTGATTGTGAACCATAGAGAATTATTGTCAAGATATAGACAGTTTTTCAACACAGACACAGAAGTTGCTGAATAGAGTTTTATTATTGAACATACCCTTAATGGATTTTCATTCAGATATGGTGGTTCTCCCTCAATCATTTCAATGGCCATCACACCTAAACTCCAAATATCCACTTTTGGACCATATTGTTTCCTGCAACACAGAATTTAGAATGTACTACAATTCTGGGTTTTAAATTCAGAGTTCGTGAAATATACATATCACAGTACTAAACGTTGCCTTGACAATAACCCTTACCTAGTGACGACCTCTGGTGCCATCCAATAAGGTGTGCCCACCATTGTCGACCTTTTACTTTGTTCTGGAGATAACTGAGCACAAAAGCCAAAGTCAGCTGTGAAGAGGAAATGAATTCAATTAGCAACTCTTTTACTACATGTAATAGAGTAAAAATTGTTAAATCTGACACCTGTGCAATCAGTTTCACTATGAATTCGTTTCTTTATTTTCATTCCCACTTTACCATTTTCCATGTACTTTACATCTTGTTTATTTTGACACAAAATTTGTGTCCCAGTGCATGTAGGAGTAGAAAGATTTCATGTATCTATAATTCCATTTAACAATCATATCTATAGTTTAATTATGCTACAAAAATTCAAAATTATAGAAAAGTCCCTGCAATCTTTTCTTTTTAAAAGAAAAAAGGAAGTTGTAAAGTTCTTAAGAAGAAACCTTACTTAATTTGACACTTCCATCCATTCCCAGCAGTATGTTGTCACTCTTAATGTCTCGATGAATTACTTGGTTCTCGTGTAAAAATTCTAGAGCTTGTAAACACTGAAAACGGTAAAACATAACAACATTTAGAAGTCTAATACATAAAAAATTTCCCTCATGTTTATCATACTTCTTTCAAGCACTGTCCATAGGTATTCAGAAAACAAGATTTCTTGGTGCAGTCAAATAGCTGTCAAGATAAGGCTTATTAATGGGGAATAAAATTTTCTCTGGAAGTTGATATACTAGTGAGGATTCAATTTTGGCATTATTAGCGAGGGTTCTGAGATTGCTAAAATTTGAATATCACTTACAATTTATTCCATATCGGTTGTTATAGATACCTCTCTTGGCATTGTAAAATTGCTAAAATTACTTCTTGCTAAAAATATATACCAATTTTTGGAGATAAATTGCTAAATTTGTGTCTTGCTAAAATTTCCACTTTAACGGTAATTAAAGAAAAGTTTTAAAATATTTAAGCAAAGACCTCATGAAAAAATACATTTACAGTAGCTTCATCTCTTAAATGAAATTTCGTCACTTTTAGATTTTACACCACACAAAAATCCTCGCAGTCTGAGGGGTCAATTTTTAACTGCTACCAAGGTTAATGGAAAATTAATTGCTGGATGCCAAACCCCCACCGTGGGACAGGTGAATCAACTTCCAGATGCCAAAGTCGGCCAAAGAGGAGTAAGGGGAAAGGGGGTGCGGGTAAAAATTAAACACTTCATCAAGTGATACCTCTCTACAAACAGCTGCTATCTGTCCCTCATCCATACACGTTTCTGTGACAACATCAGTAAGAGATCCTCCAGCTAAATATTCCATAACAACCTGTAAACAAACATTAAAAATATAATATAATATATATATAATATATAAAATAGGAAAATATTCTTGAACACTGATATTTGGAATACCTGGGATATGCCAAAGTGATTTGGCAGTCCCACCCACTTTTTCTTAATCTTTTAACCTCATAATCTCGAATCCTCAGATATCTCTCAGTTTAATTTCAGTCCTGTGCACCTCCAGATAACGAGGTTTGACTGTATTACTGCATGCAATTTGTGCATCATGTTTGTTTGAACATGTCATTTGATTTGTTTTCAGTGCCTAAGCAGTCTTGCAAACATACTGGACTTAAAATAAAACCATGTGTACTTTAATTTAGCAAGAACATTGTTGTTCAAATTGCAGTTACATAGTATTTCAAATTCACTTTATATTCTCAATAATAAAAAGTTTTCAAATTAACATTTTTCTTTGTAACCAAGAAATTAAATGTGCTTTGAAATCAGTAAAATCACTGTTTCCAAAGGATTGGCTTAATTTTAAGGAGGTTCGATCCTGAGCTTCTGATCAGATTTTGGTCTAGACCTTTATTTCTAAAATTCTGCATCATTTTTAAGTTCTAACATTAAATCTGGATTCTACAATGCAAATTAAACTATATCCAATGAAAAAACTGCGATTAAATTTCATTCAAATAGGACTAAGCCAGGAACTATATTTTGTGGCGGAAGGTTTTTTAGAAGAAAATGATCAATTTTTCCCTTTTGAAATATATACAGTACTGTTAAGTTTAGATTCCTAATTTTCCATGCTGGTTGGACACAGAGCTGTTTTTTGCAGTGAAAAGTTTTATGCTGGTTCTGACATATCTGTTAAATTATTTCTTATGAATTCTTTCATCATATTGTGACAAATATAGTAAATATATTCTGAAAGTCCAGGAAAAAATTGAGCCAATTTTAACATAAAATTTACACCTTTTTAGTAATATCTAAAAATTTACATCATAGACCCCCACTTTTGATTTTCTTTTCTGAACATATAAGATAACTTTAACCAATCTGCTTAAATTCAACAAAAGTTTAAGACTTTAAAATAATTTTCTTGCTTGTTGAATTTTTAATGCCAGAAAAATCACATTTTGTGAGTGCAGAAAGGTCAAATAATTGATTATGCGAGGTAATTTGAAACTTTTCCGAGTCACAATTTTAATGTGTCTTTTTTTAAACAGACTAATAGTTTACTTTATCCCAGGATTCATTTGGATAAAAATCTAGGAGGGAAAATGTCGAAGACGTGATTCTTGATTAAGACACAAATTTCAGTGCATAAAGGTCATATTAAATGTACTGTAGCGCCAAAAAAAGGATATTGACCCCCATTTTTTGTTTTGAATTTTAATTAAGCTATGTATGTAGAAACTAAAAATATACTTGACAAAAAAAGTTTAAGACTTTAAATATCAGGATCCAACCTCGTTAAGTGCAATCTTATCTTTTTAATAAATGACCTGTGCACACTGAACTATATTCAGTACATCCTATAGCTTGACAATCCACCACAGTATACTGGGTAGTCTGATAATTTTCTGTAGACTTTGAGCAACAATTCATCTTGACTTGACTAATGACTATTGAATGGTATCGTAGACCAATTTGTGAAAATGACCTAAAATGGGTTGCATTCAAGATAGTAGCAACTAGCCTTACTGTTAAATTAGATATCTATGTCAATCTACTGAACGCAGAGTAGGAATAAATGCTTGTTATCTCTATATAGGGCTAGCAGATGTTTGCTCAACTTCATAGTGCCATCTAGAACTACAAAGCCACGATCTTGAACACAGCACAGTACTACAATTTTTTTTTATTGAAACCTGAGCTCAGTTGTTTTTTACTTACCCATAATTCCTCCCCGACCAAATAACTATCCAGATAATTCACAATATTGGGATTCTGATTTTCCCGCATCACTAAAATTTCATTGATAATAAGTTCTTTCTTTGGTTGTTGAGACAAGTTCATTGTTTTAATGGCCACCTCCCTTCCGGTAGCCACTTCTATTGCAATATACACAGTTCCTGATGCACTGAAAATGTCAGAAAATGCACAAATTTAACAACTTCTGAAAAATGTGCACACACTCATAGTTCTAATTTCAGAACATCAAAATAAAAATGCCAATTTAAAACTGTAGCAAAATACATGTATGACAAAAGTTATCAAAATATCTATTGGAAATCTATCAAATTTTGACTCCAATTCAAGAATTTAAAGTAGGGTAGATTCTACACAAAGTAGAATGTGTTTGCAAAGATCAATGTCCTCAACAGTGGCAAGTTCATTTGAAATATGACCTTGACATTGCATAATGCTTTGATCTCTGAAAGCCTTCTCATTAATAGTTCAAAAGTTTTTTGGTTTACCAGATTTTCCATCATGGGGCATAAAAGAACACTCAAGAGACCCAGATTCAAAGTAGCACACAACATATAAATCTATTGAAGAATATCATTGTTCAAAAGAGATTTTTGTGCAGATTACGTTAACATTTCTCTTTCTTAAATACATGTAGTAATCAATGGTATGGTTTTTTAATTTTAAGCTGAGTACAGTTTTCTTAAAAAAAAAAACTTCTTATATATATATTCTTAATCCTTACCCTTGGCCAATCTTTTCCATTTTTGTATATTTCCTATTTGGATCACCAATGGTCACAATTGTGCGTAATTTTTCTAGAATTTCTTCATCTGTCATTTTACGTTTCTTGGGTTTATCATTTTTACTTGTAGCGATAGCACCATTAGCTTTTTCTTCAGGTTCAATTGGCTTTGTATACTGGAAAATAAACCAGACATGATTCGAATACTATTCTCATTGTAATATTTATCTAATATATTATTTGGTCACCTTTAATACAGAACATTATTCTGTTTTTCTGATCCTTTAGCTTCAAAAGACTTCCAGAATTATTTTTAAATCTGTATATCTGAATATGGTTTCATAATTTTCTCCCCTCTAGGTTATGATACTCTTAAAAAAATCTAACATTGTCTGTGAGGATATAAAAGACATAGATCTGTCAGGACTGTTGCTTTGTACGTTAATAGACTTTGTTTTGTTCAGTTTGGTATTATACAACTTATCATTGACTTTATTTTGCCATATTTGCCGTTATGTAACTTACAATCACTATGAACTATATCTCACTTTGTAACTAACAACTGTTTTAACTTACAATAAACTTTGTTTGTAACTTACAATAGACTTTGTTTTACTGGGTCTGCTATTAGGTAACTTACAATAGACTTTGTTTTGTTGGCCTTGCTGTTAAGTAACTTACAATAGACTTTGTTTTGTTGGGTCTGCTGTTAAGTAACTTACAATAGACATTGTTTTGTGGGGTCTGCTTTTAAGTAACTTACAACAGACTTTGTTTTACTGGGTCTGCTATTAGGTAATTTACAATAGACTTTTTTTGTTGGCCTTGCTGTTAAGTAATTTACAATAGACTTTGTTTTGTTGGGTCTGCTGTTAAGTAACTTACAATAGACTTTGTTTTGTTGGGTCTGCTTTTAAGTAACTTACAACAAACTTTGTTTTGTCGGGCTTGCTGTTAAGAAACTTACAATAGACTTTGTTTTGTTGGGCTTGCTGTTAAGTAACTTACAATAGCCTTTGTTTTATTGGGCTTGCTGTTAAGTAACTTACAATAGACTTTGTTTTGTTGGGTCTGCTGTTAAGTAACTTACAATAGACTTTGTTTTATTGGGCTTGCTGTTACAGACCCTAAAACGTGCTACTACACCACTTGCACGGTTTGGTTCGTTTCGATTTGTGTACGGTACGCTTCTTGCACGGAACGGTACGCTTTGTGAACGGTACGGTTCGCTTTGTGCACGGTACGGTACGCTTCTTGTACGGAACGGTTCGTTTTGTGTACGGTACGGTTCGTTTTGTGCACGGTACGGTACGCTTCTTGCACGGAACGGTTCGTTTTGTGAACGGTACGCTTTAGTGAACGGTATGTAAATTAAGTGGGCGGAGCCTGTACGCTTTAGTTTATGATTGGCTACTTCATAAAGTCGTTTATTTCTTTATTATAATCTCTTTATTTTATATAAATGGAAGGACGGTATCGCAAGCATTTTTAATAAGTTGTTTTTAATTAGTCAAAGCTGTTATAAATATTTCCTTTTTACAGCTGTGTTTTCATTATTACATGTAACTAGTCGTCTTATTAACTGTATCTCTTTTAATTTACTTTCTGTATTCGAACTACTTTCAATTTTTGAAATGAATAATTTTAGCTGTCAGGTTATTATCATTTTGTACACCATCTCCTTATGGTTCAGTAACTTTGAAATAGATCGAACATATCAACAAACACTGCATAACAAGGATGAAAAAAAACATTTTGGTTGCGTCGCCATGAAGGCCTTTCTGTAATTTTTTTTAAGAATAATCGTAGATATATTTTTTATTTCCTTTCAATTTTCCTAATAGAATACAGTTATTAGTTTAAATATTCACTTATCACACTTTGAAACAAATGAGTTTGATTTTATACATCCCTCATGCTCTCATTTCGTCTACCATTCTTTTTACATTCTTGCCGCTGTTGCTTCATTAAAAAAAAAAAAACAACAACAACAACAAAAATTTTCTCTTGACCGAATGATCAAAGAAACAATTAAAAAATAAGTTATTGTTTTCATATTTATTTGTGAGGAATTTTATTTTATCATTTTTTTTACATAGATTGCTTAGGTGTTTGGCTCACTAGGAAAAATACATTGAAAAGTAATCGGTAGAAGTGCACACAATTAGTGCAAAATATAACTTAATTTTTGCGCGCGTAATTGTTTTCCTTTTTACATAAGTTTTCCATCAATGTGTAAAAATGCTTTTTAAAGGGAAGTTACAATCGAGAAAACGGTTAAGACAGCTTCAATTCCATCTACAATGTATAAATGTATATTAATATATATTGACTGCAAAGAAAGATTTCCGAAATAAATAATATGTCAAAATGTTAGAAATAAATAGTCCGTTTTTAATTACCTAGAAAATAAATAATATGCAGCCATGTATGTCCTTAAAAACTTTGAAAATGAATAACTTGCCCATGCCGGGTGCTACCCCCCCCCCCCCCTTTGTTTCCTTGTCAAACTCAAACTTTTGTATTGAAGATCTAGAAAAAAAGCTGTCTGCACATGAAATCCTACTTATCTGCTGATTAAAACTGGTGGGTTCATTGTTGTAGACTTACTGTATAAGACAGCAAACTGTTGATACACGTGTGAATGTAGGCATATTTGGACTAACGGGATTAGATACGGTTCAATATACACAGTTTAAGTTTTTACCTGTGCACGTGTGATGACAGTACTTGATCGAAATTTTCAAATGTTTTAGAGTAAATAACGAAAGTATGGAAAGACGTCAGTCTAGATAACAATACCATGTCAAGAAATGTACAGTGTTTCTTAAAAAAAAAAATGGATGAACATGCATGCACGGACGAATCATTAAAAAAAAAGATTAATCTTGGCTTTACGTGTAAATTCCAGGTAACATATTTTACCTGCAGGTTTCAGTGAATAAAGCAAATGAAATGGGAAAATACTTTAAATAAAAATTAATTCTGACATATATCCATTTTTTTTTTTTTTTTTTTTTTGATTACCTGTATTAAACTGAAAATTCCATGCGAAAATGTGGCGATCGAACCTTTTGACAGTATGTTATATTGGCGATAACATCTTAGGTTGGTCAGAAGAGTGTAAACCAACACAGTTATTTATATATACATCACTTTTATTTTTTTCTATTGATTGAGAGGCGTTTACATTTGAACATGTCCGGTTTCAAATTGACAATTTAGTTTCGTAATTTTTTTTTTTTGTAATCATTTCTCCCTAAAACTATTACTTACATGAATAAAAAATGAAACAAAGGGCTTGATTTCGGAAAATAGCACAGAATCCTAATACATTTTTCAATTTGTCTTGGTTTCCGAGAACGTCCATAGAGACAAGAATAGGGTAGAGTAAAGCTATAGAAATAAATGATAAAGTACTTAATTCACTTTTATTTATTATAAATTGTACACGAAAATATTACGATGCTGCATTTAATATGAAAAAAAGTTAGTCAAGCACAACCCGATCATGCATAGCGAATAAGGAATCGCCTCACACTCTGTCGAGTTGTTTTGAAGTCGTAATTAGTTTTGAGTAGTTTCCTTATATTAAAAGATGTAAGTCCAGATGCATGGTACTAAATAATAATATTTTGAATCTCTAAGTTATTTTCCATCCTTCTTTAACGGGCGCTGCGTCGAAAGAAATAAAAAAAAAATACTTACTGTAATTGGTCATCGTAAGATCGGGGCGTGGCTTGCATAATTATTTCAAAAATTATTCATGAACAGTACGGTTCGCTCTTTGCACGGTACGATACGCTTCTTGTACGGAACGGTTCGTTTTGTGTACGGTACGGTTCGCTTTGTGCACGGTACGGTACGCTTCTTGCACGGTACGGTTCGCTTTGTGTACGGTACGGTACGCTTCTTGCACGGTACAGTACACTTCTTGCACGGAACGGTACGGTTCGTTTCTGAGGTGTAGTAGCACGTTTTAGGGTCTGTAAGTAACTTACAATATACTTTGTTTTGTTGGGTCTGCTGTTAAGTAACTTACAATAGACTTTGTTTTATTGGGCTTGCTGTTAAGTAACTTACAATAGACTTTGTTTTGTTGGTCTTGCTGTTAAGTCACTTACAATAGACTTTGTTTTGTTGGGTCTGCTGTTAAGTAACTTACAACAGACTTTGTTTTGTTGGGTTTGTTGTTTTGTAATTTACAATACTTTATTTTGTTGGGTTTGCTGTCAGGTAACTTACAATAGACTTTGTTTTGTCGGGTCGAGTGGCAACAGGAGGGGGAGCTTCTTCTTCCTCTTCTTCAGAGGCATGTGTTGCTTGTTCAACCTTTTGCTGTCAAATGTAATGATAAAATTGAATATACCTGTGAATTGTTGACTTAATAAAGCAATTTTTAATGAAAAATGATTCCATCATTTCTGATTTTCACCAAAATAAATACTTACAGGTGATATAACAACATTGTTGGAGAATTTGTCAGAGAGTGTGGGACGCATGGAATCAGCACCTAGGTACAAAACCTCCAAATTAGTTATGTCAAACTGATATCTTAATTAATAAACAAAATTCTCCTTAACTGCTCATTTAAATGTCTCAAACATCAGTGCATTAGCCAATCAAAATGCATTTTACAAAACAGTTGCTTCAGAATTATATTTCAAGGGGCTAACATTATTTATGCTATGGCCAAACAAGGCTGACTACTTACTAGGTGGTTTGATATTGGTCATATACTTCATTTTGGGTTCCTGCTGCTCTTTGTTTGTAGCATCATAATAATTGAGGACATCCAGAACAGCCTGTGGATTCTTCTTCTGCTCCATCTTAGAGATGTTAGACTGAGAAAGAAGTTTGGCCCACGACTCAGGCATCCCCTGTGATAGAAAACCATTGAACATTTATTTTTAAGAAATTTAAGGTCTCACACTGAAGGGTTATGAAAATCTTCAAACAACTATTCCCCACATCCAGGCCAAATTTATTTCTTTCTTTGAACATGAAAGAGGTTTCCCACCATTTATAAGAGTCCCCCACCCTACCCTATCCCCATTTGTCAAGAGTTCTGATTGGGTTTTCTTTATTCTACTGAATATGGTGAAGTAACTTCCCAATTATACTTAAAAATGAGTGTCACAAATAATACATTTTTTCCCTATATTGACTGTGTTTGGCAGGAGATGATAGAAATGGGAAGAAACAAACAAGGAAATTAAACATTTTAAAAAAAAATTTGTATATCAAGTTCAAAAATGAGTATGTACCTTTGTAATTTACAGCTTGTATCTACATCAATTCGGTGCATTTATATCATGTTTAAACTGGTTACACTCTTTTTGCATCACATCATGTGTATGAGGATATACTTGTTTTTTTAGAACAGAAAGGAAATTTTGCAGGCTTCGTGCATTTCATTAGGAAAATGTAAACATTATTAAGGAACCAAAAGTCATGAATCAAGTGAGACAAGTTCACACATTAGACGTTGGATTTCTTAACACAAACATCAACATTACATGTTGTATGTATAATTGTATATGCAATGTTTTTCTTTTTTTTTTAATCAAGAGCCCCCCATTTACTACCAAGCCAATTATGACATTCTTCTAGCCTTTAATCCAACTCTTTATCAGCTAATCACTGATATCCCTCTTGAAAAACAAAGACACAAGTCTACCATGTTTTCAGCTCTTGACACACATACTCTGCCACACTTGGGTAACACCCCTCCCACCTCCTTATAACCACAACAGCTAATATATTGACATTCTGATCTTTTGAAGTGCAAGAGTACTTTCATAAGAATGTTATGTGGTATAAATGGCTCTAAAATTGGACCTACAGTTTATAGTTACATAATATGGCAAGGATTCATACTTATAGAGCTATATTACGGGAACATAAGAAAAGTAAGTGGAGGACTACCTTGTTTACATGACAGAATTTTAAATAACATTCTTTACTTTCCTTAAAATATTAAAGAGTATAACTCTTTTTTATTTCGAATGAAAGACATCTTTTACACACCGTGAATTCTCCGGTATGGGGATCGAAGCCCACATGGACTGTGTGCTCAAAGTTGGAGGGATTTGAAATAATTGGCTTCTCATTTTCTTTCAACTTTTTGGAATTTAAACCTGTAAATAAATATATAAATATGATGTTTATGACATTATTAACCATATATATGAGAAAAAAAACTTTAACTAATTTGATCTATATCTCTATGCCATGCAATATGAACTAAAATATATTTCATTTTCATTCAAGCATGCCCTGTAAATATACTGAGGATACATGTACATCTTTCTTAAAAATTCCCAACCTGAAAGCCTATTGGATCCTCCACTCATTCTTCTCTGAAGAGTAATAAAAACATGGGACCAACTTGATCTCTTTTTCTCACTCATATTACATAAAATCCAACAGAACCAAAAATATACATTAAAAAAATCAGCAGAATTGCTCACAAACTGGCATCACATCTCCAAAAAAATTCCTCTAACACACCTTCTACCGTCAAAGTTAACACTAAATATACCTCGGCACTACAGGAAGAGGACTATGCGATTACTGCACTACAGAAAACGAGGAGCAATTGACAGGGGCAGAATTACTGTCGCAATACAATGATTATCCCATTAAGAGTGTTGTGAACACGTCAACAGACAGCATCACATTGTGTAAATAAAAACACACTTCATCAGGGTTTTTTTTTCCCCTGCATGGTCATTCTGAAACTCTCCACGAAGTTTCAATCTTGAATTATGTCTTCCATCAATTTTTGGAGGAAAAGAAACAGAAACATCTTCAACACACTTCTAAATACATTAATATTGAAACTTCTATGACTGCTTCTTACTGTGGATTGTAAACAATATTGGATGCAGACAATATATCAAACACTTCAACATTCCTAAGATTCTGGTTCCTGTTTTTCTGGTGCACAGACATTTGTCACCCACAGCACTCTCATATGTGTTTACATGGCATCAATCATCTCAAAGAGGAAAGAATGCTTCTCATGACTTAGCAAAGTGTACTATGCCCAGATGTATGTGACATAATTAAGATAGCCTTTTTACATATTAAACAAATATCAAGAAACATCAAAACCTTTGCCCACATGACTGACTTGAACCTATAACTTTGACTGATATGTTAATAAAGTATTCAAAGTAATCATTTTGTTGTATCTAAGGAAAAATGGATGAAGCAATGGAATTTGCAATAGATATGAATGAAACATATGTACTTGAGTTTTGCCCTTTAAAAACTTAAATTCAGTATAAATGTCTGTTTTACTTCAGCTGCTGATTTGCAGAGGCCAAAGTTCTCTGTACAAATTGATATCTCTACATCAGAAAAAGCCGTAAAGTTCATTCACATGCAGCAAAAACATGTATCATAGTTCCAAAGCAAAAAAAAAACATCCAGGAAAAAAAAAATACAAACCCTGCGCGTGCCAAGATTAAATGATTCAGTATTGTGCAGTATTGACAGGTGTAATTCCATGTGAATTTTTGATTCTGTACAATTTGTGCATATACACAAGGAGATCTAACAGTATTTTCTTGTATTTTTCAAATCCAATTAAAGAATGAAATCAAAATCTCATCTAATCTATGGACACCCCCCTCCCCCCCAATCCCTGAACTTAGTACATGTATTTAGTCAGCAAATTTATTTCACTGAAACCAATGCACAGTCATTAAAAAATTACCTGTAGAAGTACAATACATATAAATAAAACATTAAGACAAAGACATACTTTTGGGAGTTTTTGTCTTTTTCCTTTCGTCGGGTTCTTTTGGCAGTGGTTTATGTTCTTGTGGCAAATTTCCATCCCTGAAAAACAAACGAAACCACACCATTAACACCTAATGTTTATAAATAATACCAAACCACTTCAAACAGAGCTGTCTGACAAAAAAGATACTTCAACTGGCATAAATATTTTAATACACTGATGTTTTCATTCTCTCCTAAACCATTATTTCACCAGATAATTATACAGTCACACTTTGGTATCTTGAACATCTATGTCTCAAAAACCATATATATATGCCGAAGCGAGTTGGAAGTCCCCTCCACTTTTTCTTTATGTATTTAAACCTCAGTATCTCAAACCCTTGGATATCTTGATCTTTTTTTCAGTCCAATCGAGTTCAAGATGAGATACTGTGCATATACGTCTTTAAAAAAAAGAAATTTGGGATGTAATGTTGCTAATCAGGGCATGTAACAGAAGTGATTGGTGTGGGTATAACGTGTGTATGTACAGTTTCATTTCCATGCAAGGTACAGTATATAGATATGGTGAAGATTTATGTACATTCATACAACAGCTGAAGTATTATCTGTAAAACACAGAACAATAATGCCTCGGCCTGCAGTGAAAATGACTTCCCATAATTCAAGACAGCACTTGATTTTCTGAGCAATTAGTTTTATCAAGATGTCTGTAGGGGTTCCCTAACTGTTGAGTGTGCAGCATCTGTTCTAAACACACCGCATTCCTGACATAGCTGCATTAGAAATCCCCAGTAAGACAGTATCTATTAAGCAATTGTTAAAAAAAAAAAAAAAAAAAAAAATCATATTTCCTTGGTTGAGATAAACAACGCCTTCACTTGTTGGGTGTACAATGTTTTCTTTGTACATGACATAATATATCTATGTAATACATATCATGTTCAAAAATTATAAAACCAAGTGACCTATAAAGTCAATTCAGCTGAAACATAAACACATCATGCTGTTATTAGTGTTACACTTTAAAATTTCTCATTGAAATAATGTTTGTAAACTTAAATCTGAAATTCCTTGCTTTAACTTTCATGCCCGTTGATCATTGGGTCAGATAACATTCACAAATGTTTTATATATTCCAACAGAAAGCAAACAATGTCTGCCCCCTTGTACCCATTTAAGTCTGCCATCTTTTTAAATCTAGGTTAATCAGCATATTTTAGACATGGCCTTCTAGATATGTGTTAGTTTATCGATAGAGAAATATGAATTGAAAATAACCCATTAACCCTCACTAACAATGTTAATCCAAAAGAAGTGATTCATTTTGAGTCAATATCTACATGTCTGCATGGGGAGGTTACCGAGTTTAAAGCAACACATCCACAAATAACAAGTACTCTGTACAAGTACTAACTAGAAGTTCTACATAATTACATCTGTGAGAGCCAATGTTTACCATTAGTTGGCATCAAGCAAGGTTAACCACTATGAATTCCTCATTGGCTAGTTACTATGTATGCTAAGAGATGTTTTATGAACTTTATATGAGAGTATCCCCATTGAAGAGCTATAAGTGGCAGTTCACTAGGGAGTTTCTTTATTATCATGACACTAAGGAGGGGTTAAACACTAGTATAGATATTCTTTTGTTGTTTCCTCTTCCTACACTCTTAGGCTAAAGAAATTACAGCTGAATTTCAGTTTCTCAAACACTGATATCTCAAACCTTATGGATATGTTAAGTCATCAAGTCCCTATCACCTTTCCTCTTTGTATTTTAACCCCAATATCTTGTACCCTTGGATATCCCAAAGTTTTTCCTTGGTACCATCGAGTTCGAGATAACGAGGTATGACTGTTCTCAAGAACACTGAAACTTTTGTTGTGCACACTGGGTAACAATTAATTATGGAAGCCTATGTCATTTACTGTAATAAAAATGTGATACCTCCTTAGTCTACATGTACAAAAAACTTCTGTGTATAAAAATTACTCACCTCATAGTACTAGTATGCCTCACGGGAGGGGCAGGGGGTTTCTCCCCCTCATCAAAGCTGTCCGACATGGTCAGGCTGGCTTACTCAGCATTCATCAATACTTGCTAGTCATCAACAGGCTCAGAATGCAGGCCTCTGAAAAATCAACATGACTCAGTTTCAATGACCAATTATCAGACAACATGTCATCCTCAATAACCAGCAGGCAACATTCAATCCCCCATGCAATCTTTTATATTGATTCCATATTGTGTCAAACACTGTCTCCAAAAAAACAAAAATCCCCCAAAAAATCATTAAAAAAAATAGTTCTTTATAATGAGGCCTTAAATACTTTACTACACAAGAATCAATAGTATGATTCATGTCTTTAACCAGATCACTCACTCATTACTACATTCAGAAAGTTTTACATCCTAAAAAAAACAAACAAAACTGCCATTATTGGCAATTTGTTATAGCACACAGCTCTGAAAGAAAATTTTCTTGTTAAAACTCATATTGTATCCCAACACAGCAAATCACTGCTAATCGGAAGAGGAGAAAAACAAACCTGAAATGTTTTGTCTGCTACTGGGGGAAAATTTTGGAATGTTAATGGACTACCACAGGAATAATGTCAATTAGACCTTTCTGCTTTTAACGAGTCTAGAGCACCATTACACAATAACTGCCCATCCTTATATCATCCATACACACAAGGGAAAAAAACCTACGGTGTTAAAATTCCAAGGTATTGAAATCAAGAATTTTATGCACTTGTACTCCAATGCACAGAAAAAAACAGGAAGACTTACAACAATACAGGTAGAATTAACAAGCTTAAATGTTTTCTATGCCCCTGGTCAAACCCCTTGACCCGGCATTCCTTCCTTCACTTTTGTGTGCAGTTTTATAAGCTCTTTGCCAATGTAAATAAGATCAGCTCTATATAAAAAAAGCTAAGAGAATGACTCATCTCTCTCTCTCTCTCTGGAGCAGTGCATATTATTGATGACTTGTTATCATTGATCTGGTAGAGGTAGCATGCTTCAGGATTTACTCCCTAAATCCTTAAGAAAAATTTTGATGAAGGTGGAGATTAGGCCAAAAAACAAAAGGACACAATCCCACGTAAACAAGTGATGTCAAAGGAAAACCTCATTAACGAATGACATTTAATTTTTTTTGCTGTCTGACTATATTAATTCCTGTTTTTACTTTTATAATCTGTAATTAAAAGCCATATACACTGTATACTTTTACAACGACAACAGATAAAACCAATTTTGCTAAAGTGGTATGCTTAATTTAACACCAATACAAATTCAGATCTTTAAGCTTTAAAAAAGTTTTCATAAAATAATCAAACGGTTAATTGATTTTTATTTCATGTTGATATTTGACATTTTCAACAAACTCATAAATCTCAATGGATTTTATGACAGTCCCTATGCGGACGTTTATGACATGACAGACCGAGAAAGGAAGTGAAGATTTCCCCTCCTATTATGTAATTAGCTACATAGAGGTTATCGTTTGTCTGATGGCACAGTTTCCAATCGAAGGAAATCTGATCAATAGAAATGACTCATCTCTGCTTCTGCAGAAAGCCATTGAGCTAAACCCCCAGATTACATGCTGCATTGTGTACAAAAACTGCTCTATGAAGGACACATATGAAAAGTTCTGCATGAATCTTATTGAAAGCATCTTTAGATACAATCTCAAACATTCTCTTTCATTATCTTGAATATCATCTTTAATTAAGAAGTTTAAACCCTTACAAAGTAGTAAACTATACACTGTCACAGATATTTTTTTTTCACCATTCATGCAGCACTGTTGCACAGATTTAAATTTTTAATAGACAGGGAGAAAAGTATTTCATATGATTCACATAAAGTGTAATTTTAATAAAAATACAAAAAGTATAAGAAACAGGTGGGTATATATATGCATGTATATCTAGGAAAAACAGACATATCAGATTCTTTTCTCATGCACGAGTGTAAATCAACATCTAATACACAAATTACCACCACATACTAAAATCTAATCTGATGATTAAAATGTGGGGTGGGGGGAGTTCTGCTTTCAATCTCCAGAAAATATATCACAACAGGTGCAGTAGCAGGCATGTAAATGTATATATACTACATACATGCAGCATTTATTCATATTTTCACTCAAAATAAAAGCAATTCTCATCAATTCTCATCTTTGCTTTTTTATCATGGATAATCTCTTTTCCTTCAATAAGTTATGATTTAATTATCTGTATTTTACTAAATTTTAAGCAATTAATGTCATATAAGGAAAAGCCTTTTTTCCTTCAATAACTTATGATTTACCTGTAAATGTGCTAAATTCTAAGCCATTAAACTCACATAAGTTGTTAGGCAAGAGGTAAAGCTACATTATTGCGTGTGTATCATTTCTGCTTTGATAATACTAATTAAAAAGTTAGAATATAATATATCTAAATTGTAAGGGTAATTGCATCAGGAACAAAGTGGTACACACTATCTATGATCTAATATGTTTAACAGGCAATTTCCCCTTCAATGGTTACTTAGAATTGTGACATCAAACTGAAACCAGTATTTGCTTATTTAGCTATTGACAATATCTCCACTCAGTACAATCAAATGCATGCCTTTCATCTTCTGAAATCATGCAAGTTAATCAAACATCTAAATGATCTCTATATGTTGTGAGCAGCAACCTACTGTTTTTCCTAGCATATGTTTCAAAGTCTAACAAAATAATATGAAAGAACAGATGTGTGGTAAAAGTTATGTTAAATATAATTTCAAGGGAACAACAATGTAGACTTTAAATAAAAATAATTAAAACATCTGTTCTTATGTTGATGTTCTTTCCCCTTTCCCGTTTGGATGAACTACCAAGTAATAAAATAATTCTGATAATTTCTAGTAGTATGGCTATTGGGGTTGTGAAAGTTGCTAATATGAAATGGGTAATATAGTATAATAAATTAATTTTAATTACAATATGTGTGAAATATCTAGATAGCACTGTACAAGAGGGATTGAAAATGGGATACCTCAATGACCTACAGCTTAAAGTTATCACATTCTTCAAACTTTTATTAAACATTACATGATTACAATTATGGGTTTTTAAAGGTTTAATGCAGACTTCCAAATGAAGTTATTCACTGGTATTTTGCTAGCTATCATATAATAATTTGCATCAAATATTTTTTTCATTATTATTTGATCCTTAACCTAGTAACTTGTTTAATATAAATGATGAAATCTTAGAACACATACTGGAAGTTTCTTGGGAATGTATCACTTTAATTATTTTTACGAAGATCCATAATAACTACAATGTACCCCTAAGGCTAACCATATCTGAACCGAGCGGCCTTCAGACATCTGGACCAAGTTCACAGAATACATTAACTTGAACATTGGATCAAATTGTTCTTCTCTGTATTTTATTTGACAGTCAGGTGCTTTTGGGATAGACTGAATGAGCATGCTTGAATTTGAGACAATACGCAAGTTTCGAGATTATCTCCCTTGGTGCGCTCTTTCATTAAGGAGGGGAGTTTTGTGCCTGCATAAGCAGGCAGGTGGGACAGTTATGTATACATTACATCATCAATATACCATCATAAGTGATTGTCGGGATGCACTCTTTAATTCGAACATTACCGAATTAAAGTAAGGCGACAATTTTTTCTATGAACAAAAAATTGCACCAAAACAAAATAAAAATCGGAACAAAAGAAAATATCAGTGGATAAGAACTTATCAAATGAGGGAAGAGATATGGATCTCTAATAAATAAACACGCATGTGATCATTGTACGTTGGCATTCTGAATGACTCTTTCCCTTATAATAACTTCAAAGATCCCAATAACTTTTTAGAAAAGGTTTGTACAATCAAAGAATTATTTTTCTTACAAAGACTATGACGGTTCTTTCGTTTTCTAGTATCTTAAATGAAAGTAAATTTTGTAACAAGAGGCCCAGGGGCCACATCGCTCACCTGAGCACTATGGCTAGGTAAAGCAGAAATCAGTTCAGTCTTGAAAGGTTGAAAAGTTTAAATATAAAAGTGGTTGGGTGGGGGGTGGGGGGGGGGAGGGGGGTTATGAATTGAACAAATTGGAATCTACATTATCTGAGGATGCTTCCATTTAAATATGACCAATCATGGCTTTGCTGTTCTTGAGAAGAAGAATTTTTAAAGATTTTTCCTATATATTCCTATCTAAAACTTTGATCACCCATTGTGGCCCCACCTGACCCCCGGGGGTCATGATTTGAACAAACTTGAATCTACACTACCTGAGGATGCTACCATGTAAATATGACCAATCATGGCTTTGCTGTTCTTGAGAAGAAGAATTTTTAAAGATTTTTCCTATATATTCCTATCTAAAACTTTGATCGCCCATTGTGGCCCCACCTGACCCCCGGGGGTCATGATTTGAACAAACTTGAATCTACACTACCTGAGGATGCTACCATGTAAATATGACCAATCATGGCTTTGCTGTTCTTGAGAAGAAGAATTTTTAAAGATTTTTCCTATATATTCCTATGTAAAACTTTGATCACCCATTGTGGCCCCACCTGACCCTTGGGGGTCATGATTTGAACAAACTTGAATCTACACTACCTGAGGATGCTACCATGTTAATATGACCAATCATGGCTTTGCTGTTCTTGAGAAGAAGAATTTTTAAAGATTTTTCCTATATATTCCTATGTAAAACTTTGATCGCCCATTGTGGCCCCACCTGACCCCCGGGAGTCATGATTTGAACAAACTTGAATCTACACTATCTGAGGATGCTACCATGTAAATATGACCAATCATGGCTTTGCTGTTCTTGAAAAGTAGATTTTTAAAGATTTTTCCTATATATTCCTATGTAAAACTTTGATCGCCCATTATGGCCCCACCTGACCCCCGGGAGTCATGAGTTGAACAAATTTGAATGTACACTATCTGAGGATGCTTCCATATAAATATGACCAATCATGGCTTTGTTGTTCTTGAGAAGAAGATTTTTAATGATTTTTCCTATATATTCCTATTTAAAACTTTGATCGCCCATTGTGGCCCCACCCGACCCCCGGGGGTCATAAATTGAACAAACTTGAATCTACACTATCTGAGGATGCTACCATATAAATATGACCAATCATGGCTTTGCTGTTCTTGAGAAGAAGATTTTTAAAGATGTTTCCTATATATTCCTATGTAAAACTTTGATCACCCATTGTGGCCCCACCCGACCCCCGGGGGTCATGAGTTGAACAAACTTGAATCTACACTATCTGAGGATGCTACCATATAAATATGACCAATCATGGCTTTGCTGTTCTTGAGAAGTAGATTTTTAAAGATTTTTCCTATATATTCCTATGTAAAACTTTGATCGCCCATTGTGGCCCCACCTGACCCCCGGGAGTCATGAGTTGAACAAATTTGAATGTACACTATCTGAGGATGCTTCCATATAAATATGACCAATCATGGCTTTGCTGTTCTTGAGAAGAAGATTTTTAAAGATTTTTCCTATATATTCCTATTTAAAACTTTGATCACCCATTGTGGCCCCACCTGACCCCGGGGGTCATGATTTGAACAAACTTGAATCTACACTATCTGAGGATGCTTCCATGTAAATATGACCAATCATGGCTTTGCTGTTCTTGAGAAGAAGATTTTTAATGATTTTTCCTATATATTCCTATCTAAAACTTTGATCGCCCATTGTGGCCCCAACCGACCCCCGGGGTTCATGATTTGAACAAACTTGAATCTACACTATCTGAGGATGCTTCCATGTAAATATGACCAATCATGGCTTTGCTGTTCTTGAGAAGAAGATTTTTAATGATTTTTCCTATATATTCCTATCTAAAACTTTGATCGCCCATTGTGGCCCCACCCGACCCCCGGGGGTCATGAATTGAACAAACTTGAATTTACACTATCTGAGGATGCTACCATATAAATATGACCAATCATGGCTTTGCTGTTCTTGAGAAGAAGATTTTTAAAGATTTTTCCTATATATTCCTATCTAAAACTTTGATCACCCATTGTGGCCCCACCCGACCCCCGGGAGTCATGAGTTGAACAAACTTGAATCTACACTATCTGAGGATGCTACCATATAAATATGACCAATCATGGCTTTGCTGTTCTTGAGAAGAAGATTTTTAAAGATTTTTCCTATATATTCCTATGTAAAACTTCGATCACCCATTGTGGCCCCACCCGACCCCCGGGGGTCATGATTTGAACAAACTTGAATCTACACTATCTGAGGATGCTACCATATAAATATGACCAATCATGGCTTTGCTGTTCTTGAGAAGAAGATTTTCAAAGATTTTTCCTATATATTCCTATATAAAACTTTGATCGCCTGTTGTGGCCCCACCCGACCCCCGGGGGTCATGATTTGAACAAACTTTAATCTACACTACCTGAGGATGCTTCCACATAAGTTTCATATTTTCAAGCACAGTGGTTCTTGATTTTTCCTATATATTCCTATGTAAAACTTTGATCACCCATTGTGGCCCCACCTGACCCCCGGGAGTCATGAGTTGAACAAATTTGAATGTACACTATCTGAGGATGCTTCCATATAAATATGACCAATCATGGCTTTGCTGTTCTTGAGAAGAAGATTTTTAAAGATTTTTCCTATATATTCCTATTTAAAACTTTGATCACCCATTGTGGCCCCACCTGACCCCGGGGGTCATGATTTGAACAAACTTGAATCTACACTATCTGAGGATGCTTCCATGTAAATATGACCAATCATGGCTTTGCTGTTCTTGAGAAGAAGATTTTTAATGATTTTTCCTATATATTCCTATCTAAAACTTTGATCGCCCATTGTGGCCCCAACCGACCCCCTTCGGCTCAGGTGAGCTAAAAACGTATAGTAGAACTTTATAAAACCATCAAAATGATCATTGCTTAGCAATATCAAATTTCTATAACATTTAATGAACTTTAAAAGCCATAGCCAACGTTCATTTATTTATGCACGTTTGTATACATTAACAACCTGTCCCACTTCCATGCTGATATTGATACTTTTTGTAGGAGAGTTACAATCTCGAAACTAGCGTATTGACCAGGGGCCCATTTCACAAATCTTATGACTAAGATCTGTCTTAAGACCAAAAATTATTGTAAGATTGCAAAATAGGTGTTTCACAAAACTTTCATATCTTATGATAATCTTAAGATCTACCTTAATCTTACAACTTTAGAAACAATTAACTTTTAATTAGTTTTAAAAAACTAAAACAACTGTATTGTATTTTTTAAGTTTGGAAAAGAAATCATTGCTTTTCTTCCAATGACAATGAAAGTGAGATGTTCTGTTTCCATAAACAACATATATAAACTATATAATGCTATAAACTATAGATCTATTTTGTTTCATGCTCAGCGAGCCAATGACAGTGGGGTGCACATGATTCATCCACACCCACAAAAGATGCCAAATTCAAATCATTGTCACAGTCAGATTTGAAAATCTACTGCAACTCAATCACACTGAGCTCTAGGTATTTCCTCAAAAGACAAATCAAATATAACTACCTCATTTCAAATTAACGGAAACAAACACCTGAATACTTTCTATTTATAAACGTTAAATTTTTAAACATCTTCCTTTCTGACACTGTGTTCAAATAACGATTTTCTGGTCATATTACTAAACCAAATAAAACATCATAATACCGTACATCAATAGTAACAAGATCGTACTTACTTACTTCTCAAGTGTATGACTAATTACTAGAAGTTGAACAAGTTCACCGACATTTCCTCTGCCTCTTTTCTTCTTTAATCAAGATGGCACCAAAGTCTCGCTTCTGCGAGATCGCGATATGGGGGAAGGTGTCAGAATAAATAAAACTGCTTTTAGGGAAAATGTCAAAATCTGAAATTGTTTCCATTCTTGATGAGGTCTTACAAACATATAATTAATATTTTTTAAAAAAAAGAAATCAATAAAAACTACATTTTTTTGTTATATGATCATAAATTTGATGAAATCAAATATATTTTCAAAGAGTACATGTAAAACTACATTAGGTCTGAATAGGAAAAGTGTGAACCGGCCATGCTTCTCTTTCAGAACTGGGTAGATATCCTTTACATTATGATATTGTCAATAGATTACTTAAATACTGCTACAGACTAGAAAATTTAACATCAGATTTTCCTTTATTAAAAGATGCATTCATATGTAGTAAGGAACTCCATCTCGCCAAAAGAACAACTTCGTATTCCTCAATAGAAAAATTACTAAGAATTCTTGATATTCCAAACATTAAAAAAAAATATGTACTTTAATATCTGTATGATATAAATATGTAAATTTCCATATATATGATGTATGATATTATTTGTGCAGATTTTATGTACATGTATACATGTATGTATAAAAACTATCTGGTTTAATCCTTCTTTTTATATCAATCATGCAACTCTTTCTCTCTTGTGTGTATGTATATTGTATTACATGTATATGACTATATATAAATGTCAATTTACAATGTACTTTCTTTTTGCCCCATGAGGGTCCTTAATTGGTAAATAAACTAATTGAATTGAATTGAATTAATTGTAGGTAGTAAAATAAATATATTTTCAAGGAGTACACGTGTAGGTAGTAAAATAAAAGGCTGTACTTATGCGAGGGTCGAAAATGAAATTCAGTTAAAAAAAAAAATAATAAGTTCATATATATGAAAATTTATAACATGATAACAGGAATTAATAAAAAGAGAATTAAAAGTTCTCTTCCTTTTCCCCCTTTTTAAGCATAGTGACTTAAATTACTTTACATTTAACAATGCGGAAGACAAGCCCCTATACTTTTTATATGCATGTAGTCAACAAAATATTTTGTTTCTTGTTTAGTTGTCTATTTTTAAATAAACATGTAACTATGCACAATGACAGATTTGTTGGTGGAAAATTTTTGTTTAATTTAATATGATAATTCTTGATCACGGCCGTAGGAACCGGGGTGGGGGGCGTGCCCCCCAATAATTTTGCCGATATATAGATCACTATAAAAAATATACTACTACTAGCTTGTGTTACTATAGAAAATATACTACTACTAGATTGTGTCCCCTCAATAAAAACGTCTGATGACCCTTTTATTTTTTTGCTTGTCAAGGAATTTTTTGTATTTGATAGTGCCCCCCCCCCCCCAACTGAAAATGTATGGCTGTGCCCCCCCCCCAAATATATATTGCACAGACATGTATTGTTCTAAATTTCAATCTGGCAGTACTATAGAAATGTGTAGCCTCCCCCCACCTTTTTTTTCCTAAAGGAGTTATTTTCATTGCATGTCAATAACATAATCACAAGCAACAATAAATAAAATGTTGCACTGTTAAAGAGTTATCGATCTTTGAACAACGAAGTCATGTACATGTCCAATTTCATGAACGGCACTAGGCCCATAGTTTCTTCAATAAAGGTTTACCTCTTAGTATAATAATGTAACTATTAAAACTTGTGTTACAGAAGCAAATGCCTGTGACCACCCCAACCCCGTAAAAACTGCAGAAGGTGCCCATGAAAAAAAAAATAATCCAGTATAAAAATATCTAGACACAAAAGGTAATATGTCAGATTAGATTTTGCTCTTTTTAATGGTGGGAAATCCTCCCCATAAAGGATTCTTCAGGCTTGAAAAGGCATAATCTGTATTTTATTATTCTTCGTTCAATAAACTTGAATGAATTTTTCAACATCAACTACGTAAACCCTGGCGATGTCGCCTCAGTATCATTATCTACATTCTGCTGGTAGGAAATAGTCCAAAATATCCACACATCCAAAAATCGCAAGCGAAGAAATAATTACTCTTAAACAAATTGGGGAAAATGGAACCAGAATTATCTCGACTGTCGACTTTAATGCAGCAGGACAGACGTCGACTGTCGCTGATGACTGAGCAGGCTGCTCGACAGTCGGTGATTTTCCAGCAGCCCAGGGGGTCCGTCGCGTCCCGGGGAGTATCGCCATCCTCGGACTCGCTAACCGAGATGCAGAGGAGAAAGATGTCTGTCAAGTCCCTCCGAAGGAAGTCTATTAATCCCCGTCTAGATCCGCCACCCGGTTTGGAGGGACTTACTGATAAGGGCTTCATTTATATAAGGCAACAGATGGAGTCCGACTTAAGAGGTGAACCTTTTCATACTTAAATTACACTCACTTCTAAGGACTGCATTGAATTTTTATTGTAAGACAATCCGTCATTTGTTAAATAGCCAACATCAATTTGAATGACTATGCAACGAAATCTAAATGTAATAATACTTTAAAAAAAAAACCAAATTTTTTCTTTTCTAATTCGTTATTATTTCAAAATTACCATGTTTCATGAAAATTTTGCAAAATCACAGATCTTGGATTTTCAATGAATAGCATACTAGTATTGTAAAATTGAGTGCCACCGCAAATTTCACGTCTCAAAATCGCGGCAACTACCCTTTAATACCCATGGTCTATACTAATTACTAGTATATTAGAGTTTTACAATAATCAAGTTTGTTTTAATCCAAGGTCAAAGAGAAATGACAACGAGATACAAATCATATCGCGAATCACGTCAGTTTTAATATTGTCTTTAAATGTAACTTAAAGGATCTCCAAACACTGCTCAATGAAGAGTTCAAATTCATGATAGTTTTATCACTTTTATGCAGTTAGAGTGATCTGCTCCGAAGAAAAATTGTACAGTATAAAGGGAACATAATTTGAAATAGATTAGAATTCTAGACCAAGATGAAGTAATTGAAAGTGCACTGGATAAACTCAGTATATACAATGAAGAGTTCAACTTAAATTCATGAGTTTTATGCATATAGAGTGATCTGCTCTGAAGAAAAATTGTACAAATATATATAATGTATAAAGGGAACATAATGTGAAATAGATTAGAATATTCCTAATATTATTCTAGACCAAGATGAAGTAATCGAAAGTGCACTGGATAAACTCATTATATATACATTTTAAACTTGGGATACCTGTATGAGACACCGTTTTGGTATTTCTTGCCATTTAGTGATATTCAAATTGAATAGTTGATGTCACTTATTCGAAAAAGTGATTTCACCTTCTCGAATTGGTGATATCACCTATTCGAAATAAATAATTATCACCTATTCGTTTCGTGATATCACCAGTTCGAACTGATATCACCAGTTCGAACTGGTGATATCACCTATTCCATTTCTCACACCATTAATAATAGACGATCCTTTCCTCAAGACAATCTAGCTTCAATGTAAAGTATGGGATGAAATTAAAAATGAGCAATTTCATTTTCCTAGAATTGATTCAAAATTGATGATATTGACTCCGTTACTCTTAAACAAACTTTTTAAAAAAATATTATAAAATTTCTCTTGACTTTTTGAACTTAATTTAAGCCACATCCTCTACTATTTCGGCATTGCAATCATCAAATAAACTCAAGATGCGCTGTAAGATATTACATTTTGGGCACAAAGGGAGAAAATAGGGGAGGGGCACTGTTCGTAAGGTATTAAAAAAGGGTTCATAGAACAACTCAATTTACAAATTCGGGGTATACACCGGTCAATGTATAAAGGAACTGAAATGTTTATACATGTACTTCCTGTAAAGAGTAAATGTATATTCAGTACATGTATAGTCTTGGGAGCAGTTGTAATTTCATAAATAGTTTGAATAGATGATCACCTTTACGAATTGGTGATATCCCCTATTTGATTTGAATAGAAGATATCACCAATTCAAATCAAATAAGTAATATCACCTATTCGAATACTAGTAGGTGATATCACCAATTCATATCAAATTGGTGATATCAAATATTCAAAAGCTGAATATGTGATATCACCAACTGAATACATGTACAACTGAATATTCGAATAGGTGATATCACTTAAGTGCAGTAAATATCAAAAGGGTCCTTCATATTTCTCCAGGAAAAATGTTCGAACACAATTCGGAAGTATTAATTAATGGACAAAAACCGCTCTTGCAAACCATGTTTTCAATTATTTTACTTAACTTTCAGGCCCGTAGAACGCGGGGGAGCCCCCCCCCCCATCCCCCACTTGTTTCTGAGTATTGTATTTTGCTATAGTAAATTTTCTTTTACATGCTGGTTGGACCCCCACTTTTTATTGTTGTAAGGTCGAGCACTGACAAATTCCAGGATTTGGACAGTAAAATATTTTTTTTTTCTTGTCAGATAAATTTGGGAAGTTGCCCCCCCCCCCTTTGGTCAGTTTAGGTTTTTTTTTTTTGCTTGTCAGATTTTTTTTGGAACCCCCCCCCTCCCACTTTTGAAACCTGACTTTACGTCAGGGTGCTTGAGTGCACACGTGGGTCCCACGGCCACGTTTGGACTCAGGACTCCTGACGTTGTTAGGATGACTTTACAGATTCAAATAATTTTTGTTTCAGGATAATTCCTGTAAAAGTAATTTCAACCATGTTCATATTAACAGTCAAGTAAACCTTCTATCCGAATAATATCATATATATTGAAGTTTTTTTCTTCCCCTTGTCAGGAGGTTGTGGGGCAACAAACACATACAAGATCTGGAACGAAAGAGAGGAGGAATTATTCTACGTACTGGAAGGTTAGAATACATGTGTTTATTTTATTCGGCAAACCTTGGATGATTCCGTCGCCTACATCATTAGATGAGGTGTGCCGAGTGGTGTTTATTTGTCTATGAAGTAAAACTGTGTTCAATCTCCTTAAAAGGCAAAGGTGTGCTCACATTATATAGATAACAATATCAGGCATATTGAATGTATTTACACTATTATTCTGAGACAAGAATGTACACAAACTACCATTGTAAGGAAAGAAGTATTCAAGGCAAGCCAAGCAAGAGCTGTCATACGAAAACAGAGTCCACCGTGTGAAGTTTTCCGAAGGAAATTATATGTATCTTATAAAAAGCAAAACTAATACACTCTGGCAAATTGCAGGCTTTATAAGCGGGTGCATTACATGTTCACAATTGTCATTTCTGCTTTATACTCGTTACCGCTACAAAACAGTATACGGGGTTTATATCTCTCAGTTGATTCGATACGCAAGATGAACAATTTCTAAAACAAGGTAAGTTATTGACAAACAAGTTAATGATACAAGAATATCAGCAGTCGTCATTTCGTATGTTCTATGGTCGATACAATGACCTTGTCAGCAAATACAATTTATCATTAAGTCAAATGCTGTATGATGTTTTTCATACTACTTATTAATCAATTATTTACCCACTGAATTGTCTACCGATTTTTCAGTTATTTCTCGATCATGACAAGGAGCACACTGCGGTTGTGACCGGTTTGAAGGGGATGCTCACTCCTCCATGGCACCTGATCCCACCTCTGATGTTTTAGATGTCCGTGTTTGCTATGCTCCAAAATTTGTATTGTTTAATGGACTTCGGAGCTTTAATACTGTTCGTTTTCTCCATACATTTCATACATTACTGCTACATTTACATGTATATGTAAACATTACAGATACTATGCAACTCCGCTGGCCAGCTCCTTATGCATATAGAGATATCACAATATGTACATGTAAGTCTGTTTTGGAGCGACTTTCTACACATGTACATGGCTTAATAAATTTTTCTCAGTTTTATACAAAAATTCATAACCTTCAATGATTAAACTGCATTTCCGCGATTTGTAACAAACTTTTCAATGTAAGCCATTTGGTTCAACCGACTCTATATATAATAATTGTACATTCTACTACAAGTTTAATGAATATTTGTCATATTCAATTCTACTTCGACTACATTGTGAGTGAATTATATTGAACAGAACTCATGTTCTGTTTCATGTGTACTTGTGATGGGTCCTTTTATGATATACCTCGCAGGTAGATTTGTGTATGTAGCGGTAATGAGTTGATATTACCAATCTTATTGATGAAATGAAGCGGTAATGCACACCTGAAATCTAGGTGAAAAGTAGCGATAATGAGTTGTAGTAATTTCTTGCAATGTAGTGGTTAAGAGTTCATATTAGACTTAAAAAATGAATCAAACGTTGCAGTTTTCTGAGCTAAAATTTGAAATTGACCCAGGTCAGCATGACTGGACCTGAAAAGTATTCCAGCAATAAATTCATCGAATTATGAACACTTCACGCGTGTTTAAATATCTTTACGATCATAAAAGTTTTAGCCAGATAATTTTGAATGTTTAATTTTGACCTTGACCCAAGGTCTTTCACCTTATTATTCTTGATATCTTTTTATCTTTCATAAATCTCTAGATCATGCATCAGAGTTATATAAATATTCTTTTTATCAGACGCCAGTTGTATTTGTCGCTGGTTTTGTGGTCCAAATCGACAATTTCGACTGGATTTCTTCACACCTCAGGACGACCTCGTTTTCACTCTGTACCGGAAGTCCTGTCGATGTGACTGGTGCTGCTGCTTGGACTGTGTTTTGTGTAACCACAAAGTTTATGTCGTAGACTGCCTTAACAGAACACTGGGATCCATTAAACAGAAGTACGTTTGGTGATCTTTAATGATTGTATAGTAAACAGCTCCCACAATCCTATTAATTACTGTAAATGCTGAATGATTAAAACAGAGAATTTATCCAATGAATAATAAATTGATTACGTCTTGGTTCACGTCCCTTGAGGAATATTCGTCCATACCGAGACGAAACCATTTATGGATGTGATTACTATTAGTGAATCAATATATTTCTCGTTATCTCACGCTTTCCAGTTTTCACGCCGACCCCAGCTCTTTTAGAGACCTTACTTGAATTATCCCGTAATTTTCACGTTCAATGCCGTGAATGTATCAAAATTATCGTGTAGATTGTTAAATTCCGAATGATCAAAAACTTGCAAGATGACATACCAAGCAAGTCCATAACGGTCTTGGCACTATAACAGTCCTCCCGTCTGCAAAGAGTTTCTTATGACTTAATAACCAGAACACGTTCGGGATTAAGATGGAAGATGATCTCTAAAAATAACTTAAAGGCAGAGATTTTAAGCACCGCCTTCAAAAATACCTGGTCTGTGTACCCCTGTCAATCAAGTGCATTAAGGTACATCACTGGGTGCTAGAACTTGATTGACATTTACTTACCAGTCCCTGTGTATACCCTGTACACCTTGTTTGGCATTCGTGGTGACCTTCAAATTAGCTTTTGATCCTTTGATATTTACTACACATGGTATAAACAATAGAGAATATGTATTACCATGATTACTATGGAATTTTTAGCTTGATGATATATATACACACACCTTTAGTATTTGAAATAATTAGGATATTCTTTATGATAATATATATCAAAATTTGGTATAATTTTTTGTCAAAGCTGAACAAATACTTTGAATAATATTTTTTTTATTGGGTGGGGATGCTTTGACACACATTCAATTAAAATTAATAAAAATTATTGAGATTAAACTTTATTTACAACTTTTTATTTCTAATTCAAAATCATCTCAAAATCCCAACACGTACAGGTAAAGATTGACTTCTTGGGTACCGTACTGTGTATTAAATCACTTCCTTTGTATAGGGATTAGGACCACAGGTAGACTGCTAGCCCTCAAGGCATTCACACCTGTACAAAATAAGCCCCTCCCTCACGTGGAATTTACCACCCGGTAAAAAATCTCGCCTTTAACTACTTCCTCGTGTAACTTCCTAGCCATGGCCGAAATTAATTTTTGAAAACTTTCGTAAGCTTTGAATGATTTGGTTCAAGTTGTATATATCCATTGAGTTCCTCATTGACAACATTTATATAGTCTTCGGAGACCAAGTTTTCCAACAAACTGTTGGAATTCCGATGGACACTAATTGTGCTCCTTTATTAGCTGACCTGTTTTTATATTCCTATGAAGCAGAATTTATTTAGCAACTTCTACACGAGAAGAGGAAAACACTAGCTGTGGCCAATTCGACATTCAGATATATCGACGATGTTTTATCAATTAACAATAAGTTATTTTCATTTATGTTTCGACTCGATATATCCCAGTGAACTTGAAATAAAAGACACCACAGAGTCTGCCACATCTGTTTCATATTTAAATATTTTACTGACTATAGACGGTAAAGGCCAATTAACAACTAAATTGTATGACAAATGAGATGACTTTAGCTTCTCTATCGTCAACTTTCCTTATTTATGTAGTAATATTCCACTATCACCTGCTTAAGGTGTTTATGTCTCCCAACTTATTCGCTACCCAAGAGCTTGCTCTGAGTACGATCAATCTTTAAAGCGAGGCAGACTACTCACTGATAAGTTGATGTTACAGGGATTTCAACAGCCTCATTTAAAGTAAGCATTTCGTATATTTTATGGTCGTTATAATGACCTTGTTAACAAATTTAACCTATCATTGGGTCGTATTTTGGCTGACTTGTTTCATACCAATTGTTAGGCCTTTGTTTTTGTTCTGAATTGACTACGGATAGTTCCGTCTACCTGATCAATACATACGGCTCACGGCGGGAGTGACCGGTCAACAGGGATTGTTTACTCCTCCTAGGCACCTGATCCCACCTGTGGAATTTCCAGGGGTCCGTGTTTTATACCCTCTTCACATATTTGTATTGTCTGTAGATTTTTTGAGATCGATCACTGTTCGTTATCTTTACCTTTTACATTTGAGTGAAAAATGATTTGGAAATGACAAAACTTTATGTATATTGATATATATTTTTCAAGTTAAGTCAGATTTTATTTGTTACCATCAAATGAGGTTCGAAGCGCTCAGGTGGGACAGACCACATAGGAAGTCAACTTTAATTTGACCAAAAATAAAAAAAAATAGAATTCTGTCCTTTTTAATCTTTCTGTCTTATTTGCAGATTTGGAGTTTGTCAGGGAAATTTTGAAGTTCTGGACAATGATGGTGAAACCGTCGCCAAAATATTTGGACCTTGCTGTATCTTTCGATGCTGTACAGAGATTACTTTCGAGGTTCGTGTAAAATACGAAGAATCCGTCAATATTTTCCAGCTAACAATAGAATTCTCAGCCCACACTGTTCACTGATTTGAAAGTTATTTGAACTTTTAATGTTTTTATATCAGTATGATCGAAGTAAAACTTAAAAAAAAAGATTAAATTAATGTATTCAGCTTAAATGATGCATTTTTAAGCAATAATCTGTTTAAACTAAATATTCAAAAAAAGTTTTCAAAATCAGCTTTTACATTTTATTCAATAAACACTGCCTTTGTACGTCTGTACATGCATGGTTTTGCTTGTATCCCGAAAAACTTCTTAACGTGTTTGGAATCCCTCTTAAATGTACTCACTTGTCTGAAAAAATTGGGATAGACAACCACTGGTTCTTTTCACAGAAATCTTGCGACTGAGACAAAATTTTTCCTTTGCTCTAACAAGTATCTAAGCTGTAGTAGATCACAAAAAGCTTATATTTCTATTACATTAGATTACAATTACAAATAATATTTAAGAAAAAAATTTTCTAAACAAAAATTTATAAAGTTGTCAAAATTTTATCTCAGTCGTAAGATTTTTATGAAAAGGACCACAGAAAGCCACATCTGCAAAAAATTAAAAGAGTGTAAATACATTGTGCACCAAAAAGAGCTAATATGACTGCATTTTTAAGGTATTAGGGGTGTAATGGTCATGACCTTGAATATGACTAAATTCAGTTTAGTTATAATGGACAACACTTCAGGCAATATTTCCCAAAGTTTCATGCAATTCTGTCCAAACATAATTTTTCTATACTTATTTTCATGCCTGTACCCTCTAACCACTGGTGCACCTTTAATAGACAAAAGGTACAGATGTAATTTTTACCTCTACTCTAGTTAGTCGCAAACAGTTGAATGTTTCATGTATTCAGCTGCAGCACTAAGCAGTACAGATTGCATATATGCATTCTTTTTAGTTCAAATTCATCAGGTATGATATATGAATACTTGTAATCGAGAGAACTTGTCTACTTTTAGTGACAATTTTGGCGATTTTTTTTCATAAAACCGTTTGTAATATTCTGTCAAAGAAAAATATGGTAGGAAAGATCAATAAAAGAACAATATCAATTTTGTGTAAGGTGTGTTAGTGATAATATAACAAAAAAAAAAATTTATTCCATCCACAATATTTATCTTTATTCTGTATCATAGCGATGTACCCCTAAAATTTTAAGATATTATTAGTCCCCTACCGGTGAAACCGGAGGGGACTATAGGTTTCCTCTGAGTCTGTCCGTCCGTCTGTCCGTCCGTCTGTCTGTCTGTCTGTCTGTCCGTCTGTCTGTCTGTCTGTCCCTCTGTCTGTCTGTCAGTCTGTCCCACTTGGTTTTCCGCACTTTTTCCCTAAACGCTTGCAGATATTGAGCTGATTTTTGGTATGTGAGTGTATCTTGATGAGTTACAGACCAAGTTTGCATTTCGTTCCGCTTCATTGATTTTTGACGGAATTACGGCCTTTTCAATTTTTACGGGTTTTCCGCAATTTTCTTCTAAACGCCTGTAGATATTGAGCTGATTTTTGGTATGTGGCTTTACCTTGATTAGTTATAGGTCAAGTTTGCATTTCGTCCCGCTTCATTAATTTTTGACGGAATTATGGCATTTTCAATTCTTAACGGGAACAGAACCAGATTACACCTGCCGGTAGGGGACTAGTATTGCTCATGCAATACTCTCAGAATGCTTGTTTTTTGTAAATGTCATGGGATATGTGATGATTAATGAAATGATGAGCATATATAAACAACAGGTTGTTGTCATATTGAATACACTTCACTTTAGTCAGATTCATTTGTTCAGAAGATTGACCTCGTCACAGTGACCTTGACCCAGACAAAGATTTGCAAAATGACCTACATTTTTGCAGCTTCTATGTGCATGAAGTTCTTTACAGATCAAAACATTACTATACAATGTAGACTAAAATATATACTGACAGAAACATAACCAAAAGGTAAAAAAAAACTAATTTGTTCCCCACATGTATATAAAAAAATATCAATAAAAAATATTCACCCCCCCCCTTCTAAACAGTAAACTTATGTAAAAATAAAAAAAATTAATTAATGTAAATAAAATAACAAAAATCACCCTAACCCAACCCAGAATAAATCATTTATTCCCATATCTAATATTAATTTATTTTCTTTAATGTTGTAAACATATTTACATTCTATTTTTTACTGATATATTTTGAACATCTCAGATATTTTACGTATGGACATTGAACGTCACTTATGAATTGCAGATTCTACAATGCACGCAATGCTACCTATTACATGTACGTACATTTTTTCCCCTCAAACGGTTTGCTGATATTGACAGAATCACAAGTAATCGCGATGCGAATGTAAAGTTTTGAAGAAAGGTATACTTCGTTCGTTCTTCGAAAATGGTGCTATTTTTAGAAGTTGGAAAAACCCATGAAGTGTGTATTTGAAGGTATCATCGTTTTGACTGCATATTTTGTCTAACAAAATATATTAACGTGTTTTCTACGTAATATCATATTTATTCTCTCCTCCGCTAAGTTATATTCCTTTTCTTTGGTGTATGTTTTATGTTAGCGTCCTAGGCCGTCTTGACGAATCGCCATTTTTGTTTACGAAGTACAGTGTTCCGAAAACTGCCGATGTCAGACACCTCGGTAAATGCCGTCATTTTTACCGGAAATGGCGTATTACACCTCTAATACCTTAAGCTGCCGCCTTAAAATGTTCCTAACATACTCAAGGCCATGTCCGAAGGGGGTTGCGTTGGGTGCAATCCCACATCCTTAAAAAAAACCCTCGAAAATATAATTTTGAACAAAACGATCCTTATTCATCTGTTTTAGTAATACTGCTTAACTTTGTTTTTCTAATGAATGTATTAGAAAACTGGTGGCATGCTACGATGTCCAAAATGATACTCAATTGGTAAAAAAATCTGACTTAGGCCTTAGAATATGGGTACTCCTTTCAGACTCTCCCCAGAGAAGTTAGAATGGGCGACTAGAGAGATACAGATCCATACATTCAAAAGGTGTATATTTATTGCATGCAAAAAATGCACTGTTTCATAGTTATATCTCCATGCAAATTTTTAGCTGCCATTTCAAAATTTTCTTTGCATGTGCACAAAGGGTACGATCGCTGCACCTCAGAAATGTCATTTTTTTTAAAAAGTAATGCTGCTATAGAATTTGTCTCTCAAATATTTGAAGAAAAAAAACTTCCGAATGCACCAGAACTTACTAAAATGGTACCTTTTTTTAAAATTCTTGTTATAAGCTTTCCTGGGCTTGTATTAGAGGTCACTTAAAATTATCAGTGTATACACTTCAGCCCCACTTTATGGAAATTTTTTGTAAAGAAAAAAAACGACATACACTTCATTTGACTTCAAATATCTGCATAACAAAATGCAACTTTTCTCTGGTGTTGTGTGATGGTAGTGGAGAAGTTTTTATCATATTTTCTTTTTGTTTGTATTTTCTTTTATTTTTACCTTTCTTTTTTTAAGATTTGGGATAAGATAGGAGAGGAAAAATTAGGATCTATAAACAAGAAATGGGAAGGCGAACAAGAAGACGGAGTCAACGTAGACCACGAGTACTTTGATATTAATTGTAAGTACATGTAATTCCTATTTTGTGCATCAAACAATGCCCTTGAAAGCTCTTGGTATTTCCTATACGTTTAATGGGTGGAGTGTACGACATGCATGCAAGTTATGAGTATGGTGTCTGAAACAAAATAACCTTCAAAACCTTCTTATTCATTTATTTGGGAGAAAAATAAAATTTTATTCGATGCACGCATATGAATTTCGGTAGTTGTATTAAATATATTACTCACCTGACATACTGTGCACAACCGAATGCCAGAAATCCAAACGACTTCTTGTTTTTTATTTCAGTTCCAGAAAAAATGGATCCCATAGAGAAAATGTTAATTATTGGTGGTGCATTTCTTATCGTGAGTAGATAGATAAAATTCAAGAACTTTACAAAAAGAGAATGCATATAAGCATGTTAAGGCTCGTGAACTATTTATTTTACTATTGATAGTAATTTAAGATTTTTATTAAACACTTGTACATAGGTACTTGTAATCAGGGTCTTTTGTTCCTCAATGTGATGAATGAAATCATAGGGCGTATCTTCGAAAAATTTCCACTATTTTGGTAGTGCAAATTTCTTTGAAGACGTGCCCACATTGGAAATCAAACGAATTACAGTAAAACACGCATATAACAAAGTGCCAGGGACTGACGATTTTGCTTCGTTATAAACGTTATTCGTTATATTCGTTAAGTTAGCAATATATTTTGAAGCCAAGGGAAAAGAAAATTACTTTGCTATAAGCTTCAATTGATTGGGAAAACCCATACTAGTTTACAAATTATATATAATTAATTGTTGCAATAAAAATATAAAATGAGAAAATGGCATGTCAGTGTAAATTTATCTGTATCGTGTGCATTTTATTTATTTATTTTTGTTTTGTAGGATTACATGTACTTTGAAATGTCATAACTAAATGGGGAGGCTATCTACAGTCCCCGCGTGGAAGTATACACACCGACAATAGTATAGTAGTTCATTTAGTGTGGAGAGAGAGAGAGTAGACCTTTCTAAATGGCTGTAATAAATACAGTGTTATGAATTTGAAAGTTGAATTTATTTGAAATTAAAGTAGATCATTGCATAAAAAATCAAAATTTATATTTCTTTTAGTTTGTGTAACACGTTTGTGTCAGACTTTTAATAAATGCACTTGTAATTTACTTCAGATTAAGTTTGTAGTTATCTTTCTCGACAGTTAATAAATTAAATTTTCAAGTTTCGAACATCTTGTTTGTCTTTTGTTACAAGAATGATTTTCTTCTGTCATATGATAATAATATATGTAGACATGCGTAGAGTCGTTCTGCGCCGCATCTTAATTTTTCATTTTTGTTAAAAGATTCATTGCTGTTCCATTAGCCTTTAATTATAAAACCGAATTCTTGTAAACTAATTCAATTGAACTATCGCACATTTTCTAAACTTCATTTTTACATATATTATTAATATCAAACATTTGGTATAAATAGTCATGTTTACAATTAAAAAATATACTTGTAATGAAATATAACTTCAGAAATTATAAAGTTTGCAAGATTAATATTCTTAGAGTTCTAGGGCCAGCAATGACTTATGAAAAAGCTTCACAATGAAGTGTAGATTTAATGAAAAATAATTCTTGAGACCAGGTCGTTTCCACAAGGGATCTTGTTCTAATTCTAATTTAATTTAATGATGTAAATTAAAAATTTTATTTCATAAATTTAAATAAGCTATTTCAGTATTTTCCTCCTTTACATCTCCTTGCACACAATTGACAAATATGTGGCATATTACCTACCTGTTGATGACGTTTTGTGAAACTTCCTTAAAATAACTTGATCGGAAGTGTTCAAATATGGAGACACGTCAAATTCTCTTCAAATTTACTCGCCTCAATTGCAAAAATATTTCTACTGTAAAAATGTGTAAAAACTTGCCATCACCTTGCAGGCTTTCTCTTGAAGTTAAATGATGCAAAGAACTTTTTTCAATAGCTTCTTTCGGCTGTTGGTTTCTCCTATGAAGGTCTACCCCTTACTATACACGGGTGACCACCCAGGTGTGAAATCCCAAATTTGGCTAGATGGGAATAAGAAATTCAAAATTTTGGCTAGGTGGGAATAAACCCTCAACGAGTTGGACGAGACTGGGAAAAGGCTAGGACTAAAGATCAGTACCAAGAAACTAAGTTTAACAAAGAAATGAAAGACATTAGTCGACATTCAACCTAACTGTATATTGTATGGGCAAACAAGGTCATTCTATAACGACCAAAGAATTTGCCAAATGTTGACTATAAATTAGATTAATGATTTCCTTGTATCAGCAACTTATTTGCCAGTATCCTGCCTCGTTTTAGAAGTTATTCGTACGTATAATATGCTCTTGCGTATCGAATCATCTTGGATGATAATGGTATATTGCTACATAAATAAGGGAAGTTAACGATAGAAAAGTTATTTTCCCATCAAGGTCTTTCTCTAGTAAAACATCCAAATATGAAATAAACGTGTCAGACTGAACTGTCTTTTGTTTCGAGTTCAATGGGATATATCGAATCAACGTTGGAATCAAAATGAATATTGTTAATTGACAAAACGTCCATAATATATATCTAAATGTCGAATAGTAAGTTAGTAAGTAATGCAAAAGTACCTGTCCTCCCCGTATTGAGCACAATTCGAAGGAGAACTCAAACCGCATGTCCATTCTGTCAGTGTGAGAAAAAAAAACATCTCGGGCTTACCACGGCCCTAAAACTTCTTTCTCTCACAGAATGGACAGTTTTTGGCCTTTCTCCTTCTTGTAATGTATTTATGCGAAAACAGATGAATGAGAGTGAACGAACGACACTCACATAGTGCTTTTTTTCAAGCTGCAGCTTACATAAGTACCTAGATGTTCTTGATGAAAACTTGTTCGGCTTGTACTTATAAGATACATGCATGTATAAACACGATAAGGAATAGCTTAGTTCCTACATTTTTCTGGATTTATTTTAAAATCTGTTGGATTTATCTTTGTCCAAGAATACACATTTTCCATCACCTCGTGTATAGTCTGTTTCTTGTCAAGTGGGTACCTCTAGTCTTGATTTTTTTAATGACTATGCTTTATCAATGTATTGATATGTCTACTAAAGCGCATCATAAAACCCTCGGGTTTTATTATTTTTATTTCTGTATATATTTCAAGAAGTATTCAAAGATTACAAGTCTAGAAAGGAGTAGATGAATACTACTAGTGTCCGCGAAAATTAAGTTGAAGGGGCGAATAACCTTTGAAATACCACTACTCACTTTTCGATTATAGATTGTCACAGAAAAAATCAATAGCTGGCTAGCTAGCGCTACATAACGCTTGGCAAGGAATTTCATACAGCAGGTGTAAAAAACCCTTTATTGTCTACATGCTGATATCCCCTACATTTTGAAACCATACTTATCAATCTAAAGTTCACCTGGCCTTGCTTGGTGTTGCATTATCCGATTATCTAATCTTGCGCGCACTATCCTATCTTGCGCAATTGTAACAAGGAATTCGGCTATCTATTTCCGTGTAGTATCATTGTGACGTATTCGATAAAACAAGCAAATTCAAAGAATTGTGGTCCCCCGCTCTCGGTGTCTTAGTGAATGGGATGCCATTATATATTGCATATTGTAATTGTCTTGTTTGTGTGTCCTGTCTTGTCTGTGCATTATTCAAAAAGATATAAATTATTGATTTAATAACAGTTATGGCAAAGATTATAGCTTCTAAAAACAAAATCAAACTTCAAAATCAAGGTAATGAGGTCAAATATCATAATAAATTCCGAAAGGTTTTGTCACAAGTAATGCACATGTGAAATAAATATCAAAAACCAGATTACACAATCGGAAAGTTCTTGAAACAGGTAATGCACATGTCAAATGTAAATGCCATATATTCTTAATCAAAAGTTATTAGCAATGTTAAATTTTTTGAAAAATAGGTCAAAATTCAAGGTCAAGGTTATGTAATTAAAAATCATAGTACATTTGGAAATGCTTGTCACAGGTAATGTACGTGTCAAATGTGATTGCCCTATCTTTACTCCTTTAAAAGTTAGGAACACTGATTAATTGTTTGAAAAATAGGTCAAACTTGAAGGCCAAGGTCACAGGGTCAAATATAGCATGTTCGGAAACATTTTGACACAGGTAATGCGCTTGTCAAATATGAAAGCCCTATCATATGTCATTCAAAAGTAATCACCAAATTTAAAATTTTTGAAAATTAGGTCAAACATGAAGGTCAAGGTCTAGGGGTAAACAATCATAGAATATTTGGAAAGTTCTTGTCACAGGTAATGCACATGTCAAATATAAAAGCCCTATCTTTTCTCAATCAAATCAAAGTTATAAGCAAAGATAATTTTTTTTTTAAAAGTAAGTCAAACTTTAAGGTCAAGGTCACAGCGTCAAAAATCATACTATATTTGAAAAGGTCTTTTCATAGGTTAAATACATATATAATAAGAAAGCCCCATCTTTTCTCATTCAAAAGTTATGACCAATTAAAGTAATGTTTAGATTTTTGAAAAGTAGGTCAAACTTCAAGGTCAAGGTCACGGGGTCAAAAACCATAGTATGTTTGGAAAGGTCTTGTCACAGGTAATGTACATGTGAAATATGAAAGCCTAATCTCTTCTCATTCAAAAGTTATGACCGAGGTTAAAGTTTTTGTGACAGACTGACAGACGGACAGACAGACGAATGAGTTTTAATGTCCCCTCGCTTTCGCGAAAGCTGGGGACAAAAAGTGTGTTTTATCACGAAAAGACAACAGTTGTGGTATTTTCGCTAGTTATCTATCTTTAATTCATGAGTCATAACTGGAGTTTTTCTTCTGAATTTTGTATTATCAAATCAACATCAAAACTTTTTTTTTCAAAATTTGTTCATCTTTTAGTTTTAAGAAAAACTTTTTCAAATTGACTGCATTTAAAACAACGATAATCATAATAGCTAACAAGATGGCTTGTTGTTAGATCATAGTCTTTACTCTTAGCATCATTCTTTGGCAGAGGAAGACAGGGTACTGTAAAACCAAATATTTTCGTGGGGTCATATTTTTTAGGTTCGTGGGAATTTGATTTCATTGGTAAAGAAGTGCTGAGTTGTTATATATTTGAACATTTTTACATTCCGTGGAAGACATGAATTCGTGGGTCTCTTCATACTACGAAAACGACGAAAATTAACCCCCATGAAAATTAGCGATTTCATACTATCATTTCGACGAAGGAAGTAGTCATGTACTCGGAGTCCGTGTTTTGCAAGATGCAAGGGTCCGTGTACATGTATTGCAAGATGCAAGGGGCGTTTCTGAGCATCAGATGTACATATCTGTTAATTCTGTAACTAGTATTCTCGTTACATTTATCAAAGTTGTATTTGTTGTATTATATTTTTATTCTCTCATGCAGTTTATCATATTTAACTTGGAGTTGCAGTTTTAGTAAACATAGATTATGTGGCAAAATAACATGAATTCCTTAGTTCTAAAACGTCATTACTAGACAGTGTTTTTTAAGAAAATATTTTTTTCTTTGTAAATGCCATTGTAGCTTAACTAGGTAAACGGAGATGTCTCCTTTTTCATATTGATACCAACTTGAAATTTGACTGCCGCAACTGCACCATCTGGGAGAACTAATCGTGACACATACCAGTCACGTAGTATCGTTTTTGAAGGATGGGCAGCCCAAAAAAAAAGGGGGGGGGAAGTGTCCGAATTCGAAAGTCCTATTTAGTAGGGGGGTAGGTTTCAACTTTTTTTGCAACCCAAATTTTATTAATACATTACCCCTTTGCCCTGATTTGACTAGTGCAACAAAAGGTGGGGAAGGGTGACCAGCCATTTAATGAACATTTTCAACAGTAAAAGGTTATGTTTGAAAAAATGTGGGGGGCCAACCCCTGCCAACCGATACTACGTGCCTGGTACCAAGCATGCGCCATTATTGTGCTGATACGAAAATGTCAACCATTTTTTAAAATTGCTTAATTTTAAGAGAGAAAAGTATTAAAGTGAGTCCAAAGGCAACTTAACAGTGACTGTAGACTTTAATAAAGATTTCGATTTTGTTTTGTTTTAACGGTTTAAAAAACATTGATAACTTTATTTGTATGGA